CCCGATGTGGGACAGAGGTAAAGGCTACTGTGGGGGTTTGACCCGCAGGTTAGCCGAAATCCTTTGATGGAGAGCGGGATATCCCCGGTAATGGGGAGGATTGCTCTTGGAGGGAGGTATATCCCCGGTAATGGGGCGGTAGATCCCTCACAACATCCACTGAGGGGAGTGGGTGACGATGAAGAATAGAACCACGAAGTCATCTCTAAGGGCCATCAAAAATTGTACCAGTCTCTGTTCCTCTCTGAAAGTGCGATATGTCAGATTAGTGCTCAACTCAGTGGGTTCAGTGAGTGCAAGCTGATCCCAGAAGCCAGTCATAACAGAAAAGAATTCTTGTATGGTTTTGTCCCCTTGGCGCACATCTCGAATCTCATGCTCTAGCTGATACCTCTTTGTAAAATTAGACTGAACAAAAAGTGTGACCATATAATCCCAAATTTCCTTAGTAGTGGTAAACTTGGATAGATGAATTCCAATGGTCTGATCAACTGAGTTATTAATCCAGGTGATAATTTTTGTATTGTTGATATCCCAAGTACTTTTCAAATCAGCATAATTTTCAGCCTTAGTATCAGTTGGAGCCGGTGCAATACCACAAATATAATTTCACATATCTTTTTCCATTAAAATTTTTTTCATAACATAAGCCTAATAAACATAATTTCCACCTACTCATACGAATGGCTTGAAGTGAATCAGAATTTCCATTTGCCATTGTATCAAAATCAAAGCAGTCACAAAACCCACACAATAACACCAAAAGAACAATCCACAGTTAAAACCCAGTAGCCACCAAGCAATAACTCCAAATATTAAGCCACAACCAGACTGCCAAAATCTTAACCCGATTGCCAAAGCCACAACCAAACTGCCGAAGTACACTACACCGGCGTCGACAACAACAAATCAGAAACACTGCCCAACAACAAAGCACAATCAGACTGCCCAATACCAATCACCAACAAAGCAGAAAACACTGTTGCCGAAGCCACAAAGACTGTCCAGTACACCGGCGTCGGGACCAAGTATACCGAAACCTTCGGATGGCCAAAATCAAGCCAAAAAGTTACTCAAAAGCTTCGAGTCTCTCAAGAGGTGACCTAGGAAGCTTAGTCGGACCTCTTAGAGAAGATTTGAACCAAAAATTGCAGCAAAAAACCTTTGTTTCAATAGATCAAAGAAATTCAAAAATTTGGGTCGAAAACATTCAAAAAATAGAAACACCTACGGGATGTGCTCAGAATCAAAAACAAACCATACCAACAGAAAGCCCATGCAATTTTGAGTCTGACAGTGGTCTTCACGATCCGAAAAAGATGACGTCACCATGACATTATCATCGGCGANAACCATACCAACAGAAAGCCCATGCAATTTTGAGTCTGACAGTGGTCTTCACGATCGGAAAAAGATGACGTCACCATGACATTATCATTGGCAATGTTGACGTCATTCTCCGAAAGCCCAGAAAACAGAGAAGAAGAAATTCTTTCATCTTTTTCAGAGTCTTAGGTTTTGAAATATAATAGCTCTGATACCATCATAGATTGAATCAATGACAATACATAATGAAGAAGAGAAAGTATGACTATATTATTAGACAAAAAGCAAGTCTGTAATGAACATCATTAATCTAGAAATAAACAAAGTAACCCTTATATAGTAGGGCAACACAAAATAAAGAAAATGCCTAAACTACCCTTATTATTAATACTTTAACAGTAATCTCCAACAAAAACCTGACCTGGTTAATTTGCTAAACATGAAACTAACCAGCCAATCCAACTACTTATAAGGGAAATAAACAAATTTAAGTAAGGATTAGAAATGCTGATTTCCTGGTTACAGGTTTTGAATCCTAAATAGGCATAATTTGGGTCAGCCAAAGTGAATCCACCTGTCAAACCATCTAACGCACAACCCAATTTGTTCAAAACAGATTCAGGCCAGTTGGTACCTCCTATTCAATTATGTGGACATATAGAAGATAAAAAGTGAAGAAACATTGTGTATTATATTGGAAATCTCTTCTTTAAGATGTACTATTTAAAAACCAATAATAAACTCGGGGGTTGGTTGGTCAGTTAATTTATTGATTAAAGGTAGCTGCTAATTTGCCACAATGTGTGAGGATCAGGTTTTTGATTGGCACTGTTGATCACAGTAACAGTACCGGGAATATTACAATGAAAATTGGGAACAACCAATGGTGAATTTCCCTTTTTGCCAAACGTATTTTGCACATGTTTGGACCTTAGTCAACTCCATACTAATTTTTCCGTCATTTATTGTGACCTTTATGACATTAGAGACAGGATATGCAAAAGCTACTATATTTCATATTGTTTTTTTAAGTCAATGAGTCAGTGTACAACAATAGTTCTTCTTGTCATATTATGCTTAGCTACTTTTTGTTGCTTCATCAAAATATATGTAATTTTGTATTCGAAACTTTAATTTTTCTTATTTCTATGTAATTACCTTCATTTCGTTTTTCTACGTTATGCCAAACTTTTCAATAATAGATTATTTTAGCTTCAGGGGGGATCTTAACCAACATATTTCTCTATTGTATCTTTTTGTTATATCCTCCCCCATATGATTTTGTTGCTTGTGAAAATGCAGCCAGATTTGGTGCTGTTTACAGGTCGGTGTTCTTGTTCCCTTGCTGTTTATCCACTTGATGTAGTTAGCAGGCCTGCTTTCAGTTGTTCTCTTTGTCCGTGCTATTTCTATATACTACTCCTACTGGTGAGATACGTTGAGCTCTCAGGCACCCCTTTTTTTAACTTCTTTCTTTTGTTTTGGTTTGCTTTGTTATTGGTTGTGCTTGCTTCAGGTGATTTTGGTAACGAGAATGTTGAACTTGTCAGAAGTATTGCGAATCTTAAATTTGCTAAAGCAGTTATTTTGGGGAACCATGATGCCTGGAATACGCAAAAATTTTCTGAAAGGTGAGTCCAAATATGTTGTGAATATGGGATATTTTGGTATAAAGAAGTGGGGAACTTACACTTTTGTCTGAATTAATGAGATACACGATGTCATTTTGAAATGATTGGAAGGTAGGTGGAATTGATTATATTTGGTTCGATTTTGATTACCGATGCTGAAAATATGGTTGGCTGTGAATTGAATTATAATATGATCTTCTAAAATGGGCCTTGATTACCTAATTTGATTTCCTGAAATTTGACGTAATGTTTAGATGCTTCGAGTTGTTGTCAATTGTTGCTGGTTTAGTTTTAGGGACACCAGATTCTATTATTTTAGTTTGACGTTCTTAAAGCTCCAACTATTACATTGTAAGCTCTGTAAATCCAGGCCTCCAACCATCTTTGTTGGAGAAAGTAAAAGTAGTATAGGTCATCAGATGTTTTAGATTTTGATCCATTCTTCATGTTTGTTTCTGCTTAGATGAGAAAGATGGGTGCTTTAGGAGAAGATACCCAATTAGAGATGTGCACATTGCGGTTTCCCTTCCCTTTCCATTGGTCACTCAAGAAAAAGGAGGAGACGTACTGCTATTGCCACTTATATGCCAGTTTTTTTAGAAAGACAATTAGAGCTGAAGTATTAAGATAAATGCATGGAAGGAAGAATTTGTGAAGTTTTATGTGCCTATTCATTGATATTCAATTTCAAGCCGATTGTGGGAATATGAATTTTCCTTGTATCTAGAGGGATGATGCAACATTAAGTGATGTTTGATTGTATCATTTCATGATTTTAGGTTCTATATATTTAAGATTGTCGTTTTGAAGCTTTTGATGGAAAATACAAATTAAGCACTTTAACCATTTTTGCTTCAATATATGCCATCTGATTTCTCTTTTTAAACCTCTTTTTGTAGTGCGAATATGCATTTCTGTTGTATATTTTTCTTAGTTGGGGGTATTCTTTGACTAAATGCAACTAAGTTGAATACAAGTATACAACCACCTTTTTGGTAGTCCCTTTGTATCCAGCAGTTATCAGTCATCAATTTCCTGGCTTCTGCATTTTATACTTTGAACTAAATCCCACAGTTACTATAAGGTAAGTGGTTATAAGTACGTAGTGTTCTCTCTCTCTCACACACACAGTTGTGTATGTGGCTTTTTTCATTAACGAAATTTTGCATTGAATCCATTGATAACTCAGACAAGACCAAACTTCTAATCCACTTTCTTGTTTCTAACTGTGTCACTAGTTCTATTTTTGGCAGGAAGGACAATGTCCAACTTCAGCTGGAATGGTAAGCTTTCTAATCTCCTAGTTTTGTGAAAATATAAGAGGTGTAGAACTTTAGTTAGCAAATCTTCAGGATGACGTTTCCCTTTGCATTCTTTGGTTTTTTATTGATGTCTAAATGTTCCATGGTATTATTTATTTCCTCCTATTGTGGTACTTAGAATTTTGTGGATTCAAAGTCTCCTTTGTAAAGAAACTAAGACCTCTCATGTTCTTAATATTTATCTTGTCAGAAATGAGACTCGGCTTATATTTCTATTTTGTGTTGATTGTTCAGTGAACTTATAGCAGAAGGGAGAGAGTCGCATATTTAACTCTTAGCAGAACTTTGTATGTGTCAAACAGTTTATTGTGCTGGGCATGGTTTGAATTGATGTTACATGCGTCATCAAAGCATCAGAGTCTATATGTATGGAATTGGAACAATAGTCTGAAATGTTGTGGCTGCTTCCTATAGAATCTGGCTGCAATTTGAAATGTCTTAGTCAATTAGGAAGAATCTTATATAGCATGTCATCAAAGATGCCATACATAGGAATCCCTCAATAATATTTGCTAGAGGAAAAGAAGGGGAAGCCATTATGACCTGAACCCCAGTTTTATAGGTTTTTTTTTTTCTTTTTTTCACTAAGGATTCTTATGCCCATTGCAAATTTCTTTGATTCCTATGATTTATGTATTCTATCAAAGATTAAACTCACATGAAAAGGAAGGGAAAGTTAAGGCCCTCCCCATCATGCTGGTACGATAGCTTGTCATGTTACCTATTATTGTTTCATTTTAGCCATTGTCATGTAACTCCTTTGGCATTAGTACGTCATGCTGAATTGTTACCATTGATGAAAGTTTGAGTGGATCAACAACATCTATGTTTTGATTGTCAGTCTTGGCGATGAGCATGTTGGTTACCGCCGGTTGGACTTTCCTATGCTAAAGCTGAGTGTTGTTGGCGGGCGGCCATTTTCTTGTGGAGGTGAGCAGTTGTTTCGAAAAAGGCTTCTTTCTGCAAGGTTAGTAGTGTGTAGTGCAACTTCTCTTGTAATCGATCTCACCCTTCCTCTTTGAATTTAGTGTGAACTTTTATATGCATTATTGTGTTTGCTTGTTGGATCTCCAATCTAATAGAGAAGTAAAGCCAAATGATTTCCTTCTCATATGAATGAAACTTGCAGACATGAATGCGTGTTTTTGTTCTTTTTGTGACTTACCAAATTGGTACTATCCTCTTAGATATGGAATCAATGACATGGATGGAAGCGCAAGGAGAATCTGTGAGACTGCTTTAAGGACACCAGAGGATCATACTATTATAGTTCTTGCTCATAATGGACCTACAGGTGTTTCATTCTGCAGCAATCATATTCAATGAATTTGCATGTGTTTCAAGGGCAAGATTTTTTCTCTATATTAAAGTCTTGTAATAATATGCAGGTCTAGGTTCTAATATGAATGACATCTGTGGAAGAGATTGGGTGCCAGGAGGTGGCGACCATGGTGATCCAGGTAATACACTTTAGAGTTTGATTCAATGTGACATCTTCTTTTCCTGTGGTATTCCCATGGGTGAGCCCTAAGAAGGGGGGTGATTCATATGGTTTGTAATGAGAGCTTGTGTCGCACGCCGAAAGGTCAAGGTCACCCAGTAGACTTTGACTACAAAGTATAAAGAGAATGAAGAGAAAGAGAATGGATTATATGGTTGAGAAGTCTCTGCATCCATTGTCAGTTGATTATAAGTTGGATACTTCAACATGATATAAGGGACATAGGTCGTCAATTGGCAAAGTTTTTCATCCACGTAAATTTTCTAGTTTGCAAGTTTGTCTCCCAGGTAGAGTGTGCGAAGAGAGTTGTAGTCCACATCAAAAGATCAAGGCCACTCCAGATTATTTTACATGGTTGAGAATAGGTTTTGCGTTGGATACTCTAACATCATCCAACACATTTTGGTACCTTTTGGCATAGCGTGGCAGGCAACCTGATGAATCATATCCCTTCAAGCCATTTATTAAGTGCTTGACACCATCGGTACAAAATCATGTTCAATTTTTGAGGTTTACCACCTTTTTTTTTATGGTACAGATTTAGTACATGCCATTTCCCAACTGAAAGAGACCACCAAATTCTCTATCCCTTTGGTTGTCTTTGGCCACATGCATAAAGGGCTGGCATATGGAAATGGTCTTCGGAAAATGATTGTAGTTGGGAATGACAACACTACATACCTAAATGGAGCTATTGTTCCTAGGGTTAAAAGTTTGAACAGTGAACAAGGAACACATAACAGGAGCTCCATGAACAATGGAACCCGTCTTGCAGCAACAGAATCAGAAGGCACAATGCGAGCTTTCACCGTAGCTATAATGTCGAATGGCAGATTGGAGAAGATTGCAGAAACTTGGGTTTCAGTAATTGGAGACAAAACCACATTAGCAGAGGAGAACATACTGTTTAGTAGTGACCCTAGAAGCTCTGAGCAGTCTCTGTAGTGGGTTTTCAGTTTTGAGCACATTATGTTATATACTGGTGAAAAACCTAACCTGTTATATGTATTGCTCTGTCATGTATATTGAAGAGACATAAGCTTAAGATGTATGAGTTTTAATTGTTCAACTACCGACAGCTTTATCTGTTATGACTTGATAATGGCAGCAGATCTAGACCTTTTACTTTCCAATAGGCTGATGAATGTATGTATGGAAAAGATTACATGTGCCGAAAAAGGGTGAATTTTGCATGAAAATGATAACCCTTTACCTCGATTTCTAAAAAAGATGAAATTTTTAACAAACAATCATAGTCTACAACCAAGATAACAATAAGTCTCGGTTGACTGTTGTCCATTAATAAAAGATTAGTACAATTTTTTTTCTTTTCTTTTAAGACCTATCTTTTGTTAATGCTCCAACTTCCAAGCAATTTCATGGGTGTTTTTTGACCCAGTCTTTGCCTTTATTAGCATTACCAACCGGTCTTTGCTCCGATAGTACTCTTTACTTGCGAAAGTTTTCCTTCTTGAAGTCAAGGATTTATGCTCCCCTCCCCTCCAAAAAAAAATACTAGCACTGAAAATATTATGTTTATCAAAAATAATAATGTGAGTAATAAGGTCATTGTGTCTCATCAAAAAAATGTAACAAGATTCACTGATCCAACTATTCACATTCATTGGATAAATTTTTTGATAAGAATTTTTGATAAGCATAATGTTACTCACCTTTATTAAAGCTTTCTCTCACTAGAAATTAAAAAAAAAAAAAAAAAAACTATCAACTACAAATAGCCCCACTTCTTTGTTGAGTGCTCTTATGCATACACAAAATTATTAAAGTGAGATAGTGATTATAGATGTGAGTGGACCACCTTTCCAAGCCCATCAAAGTTGTCCTCTCACCCCATCATATAACTTGAGGTTATGGGACAATTTAAGGGGCTGTTTGGATGAGATCATTATCTTTGTCCTTGCTTTTATTCTNATTATAGATGTGAGTGGACCACCTTTCCAAGCCCATCAAAGTTGTCCTCTCACCCCCATCATATAACTTGAGGTTATGGGACAATTTAAGGGGCTGTTTGGATGAGATCATTATCTTTGTCCTTGCTTTTATTCTGCTCTTGTTTAAAAATTTAGGATAAATTTCACTTTTATCCCTAATAATGAAATAAAGTTGTATTTTACCTTCACGTCCAAATATTTACATGTAATCGTAATATAATTTATGGACCAAATATTTGAGAATTCATACATTTTGTCCCATAGTTATCAAAATTTACTAAATATTTGAGAATTCATGATCTGGATACATTAATTTTAAATGGGATAGGTTCGCGATTCAGATCATCANAAATATTTGAGAATTCATACATTTTGTCCCATAGTTATCAAAATTTACTAAATATTCGAGAATTCATGATCTGGATACATCAATTTTAAATGGGATAGATTCGCGATTCAGATCATTANGACCAAATATTTGAGAATTCATACATTTTGTCCCATAGTTATCAAAATTTACTAAATATTTGAGAATTCATGATCTGGATACATTAATTTTAAATGGGATAGGTTCGCGATTCAGATCATCAAAATATACGATCATAAATTATACACTTAGCATAAATATAAAATACATATTAATTATGTGTATATAGATTTATAATTATATATTATTTTAAATAATAGATTATCGAGCATAAATATAAGATAAATAATAATTAACTTAGTGTTTATGGATGTTCTATATAATGTTGTATAGTAGTAAAAATGATCTAGATAAAAGCTCCTAAAATGAATTTCAACCGAAATACCATATCAACTAAGTCTACCTTCACTATATTTGTACCTAAGAAAGTATTGTATCGTGTATTTGTACTTGTATTACGTATTAAAGTGACTCATGATTTAACTNGCATAAATATAAGATAAATAATAATTAACTTAGTGTTTATGGATGTTCTATATAATATTGTATAGTAGTAAAAATGATCTAGATAAAAGCTCCTAAAATGAATTTCAACCCAAATACCATATCAACTAAGTCTACCTTCACTATATTTGTACCTAAGAAAGTATTGTATTGTGTATTTGTACTTGTATTACGTATTAAAGTGACTCATGATTTAGATAACATTACATCTGCCATACTATTGTGTGTCCTATGATTTTATGGATTAGGAGTTGGGGAGAAGGGGTCGCCATGGGTTTAGGGAAGATCTGGGGATGATAGGGGTACTAGTAAAATAGTCAAGTGTTAGGTTTGTATTGTGTTTAAGTCATGTTGTGTCAAAAATTTACCTTATTCCAACTCGATTAATTTATTTATCGTATAGTTGGGTATGTATTNGTCGCCATGGGTTTAGGGAAGATCTGGGGATGATAGGGGTACTAGTAAAATAGTCAAGTGTTAGGTTTGTATTGTGTTTAAGTCACGTTGTGTCAAAAATTTACCTTATTCCAACTCGACTAATTTATTTATCGTATAGTTGGGTATGTAATTTTTTGGTTTCATATCGTGTATATAAGTAATAGATAAGTTATGTTTAGTTTCGTATCAACTCATCAGTCTAACAGGTTCACTAGCTTACCATTTGAATCCGTTAAACGCAATTAAAATGTTAGTTTTATATAAGGTTCATAAGTTGTGTCTAAAATTATCAAGGGTAGGTATGGAGGTGAAAATTGGGTTTTTTTTTTCTAATTTGTGAATAAATAATATAATATACCAAATACAAAAATATTTAAATTATAAAACTGATGGTGGCATTGGCAATAATAGATTCAAAAGAAAAAGAATAATCTTCTTTTTTTTTTTTTTGTAAACCATGAGCCAACCCAAAGCAAACAAAAGGAATGTCTGACTCTGAGATCTTAAAGCTGCACTCTCTCTCTCTCTCTCTCTCTCTCTCTCTCTCTCTCTCCTGATAAACCACAGCAACCTTTGACCAGAACTCACCGTCAATCATTCTCTACAAGATCTTTATAACCTTTATTTATTTATTTACATTTGGCACCCCCAGTTGTTTGTTTTATGATTATCATTGCTTTCAACTATTATGTATACGGCTCTATGGTATTGTCAAAGCTCCCTTTGCGCTAGATTATGAGAGCGCCCCAAGAATATTAGGCTTTGTTGAAAAGTTAAAATTACCCTTTTTATTATGAAAGAATACACTATTTTAATTGAAATTTTGTTCCAATACCATTATTTATGGATTCATATAAAATTAACCACATCTCATTATTTTGTAATAAGAAAAAATTCTTCTTGTGCTTTCAAATTTTATGTGTTTACGACAATGTAACTCGTATCTCAAGGATTTAAATGATCCGCCTAGAGAAAGTTTGATAATCAATTTTACTTTTGAAGATTTTTCGATGACTCGAAACTTTGAGAACAAGTCCCCTTGAAAGATGGCCACTCACTAGTATCTAATAATGGTGATTGTTCTACTTATATCAATTAGTTGAGGTAACGGATTGGTTCAATGGTAAAGATTTATTAACAATTAAGGATGTCTGAGTTAATTTACACGCACTTCGACTAATCTTTACTCCGATTCAGTTAAAGACAAGTTATCCACATTAAAATTAAAGTATTTACGAGAGATAAATCGTTATAACTTAATATTTCTAAGAAATTGTGAAAATTTAAACTCATGATAATTTTGTTGGTAAAAATCCACTTTCATCCACAAGTGATTCCCTTTTTTGCCGCCTAAAAATAAAAACTAAATCATGCTTTCATCTTTGTGGATAAATATAAACACACACGTGTGTGCTTATCTCAAGCCACCTCGCAAAACAACATTTAAAGGCCAAACTTGTATATTTCACCAATTGATGAAACAGAGGGCGCTCCCGCTATCAAAATCAGGAGGGGCTGTGTAGACACACCATCATCATGCACAAATAGATCTTTCGTTCTTTAATGTTCATGGAGCTTCGTTTCAATAGAAGCTCAACCGCTTAGATCGGATATATTTATCTCATATCTCTCATTTTCATTATCAACAAACCACTCAAAACAAAACCAACTTCAAGAATTCCAAAAAAATAAAAAAGAACACCTATATTTTCCTATCAAATTTTCTCTCAGAAAACATAGGAAAAATACCCAGAAAACGGGGAGAAAATCTCATGCCAAAGACTCTTCCATGGCGTAAAACTTCATTGTTTGTCTTCATTGGTGACCATTTGTTATTGGGTTGGATTTAATGGGCAATGTAACGTCGAGTGTTGCTGCAAAATTTGCTTTTTACCCACCAGACCCACCAACATATGATGTACATAGAGATGAAGATGGAAGGCTCATTTTCAGTGGTCTAACGGCTGACAAAAACGCTAATGTTCATCTGTTAGATACAAAGGGTGGTAATAAGATTGTGGCCACGTTTTGGAAGCATCCTTTTGGAAGGTTGACGCTCTTGTACTCTCATGGCAACGCTGCTGATTTGGGTCAAATGTTAGAGCTATTCATTGAGCTCAGAGCTCACCTCCGTGTCAATATCATGAGGTATGTCAATTTAGCCGTTTCAGAACAATGGGTTTTGTTTATTTCTAATGATATTGGAATGGTTGCTTGATAATTTTGACTTTGCAGAGCTTGTTTGTGTGTACTTTGTTTTTGTGATAAAGGCGTAAATGTTTCTATGAATGTATGCTTGTGTTGTGCCTTGTGTGTTAGATTTGGAATATGGGCTTTTTTGTTTTCGATTAATTTGTGCTTAAGGTTTTAAGTGTTTATTTTTGGTATAGGATATTTCATGTTAATTGATCTTATTGATTGTTGGGTTCTAATGGAATTGATTGTTTGTGTTTAACATATTGAAATGGATGTTTTTTGTTTTTTTTTCCTTCGTTTTTTAAGGTTTGAATTTAATTTTTCTGTTTTTCAGCTCTGTTCTGTTGGTGTAATTGATTCAACTTTGTACTATGTTATATTTATTCATTTACCTAAAACTTTTTCAATTTTTTCTTTCGTTTTTTACTTCCTCCTCCTTTTTGCGTTTTTACCCTCTTTTTCATCCTATGGGAAATCTAGTAATATAGTGGTTTTTATTCTCTTTTTAGTTATGTTTATTTAGGAAAATGTTATTTGAGAATTGCTAGTGAAATGGATTTATTATTCCTCCGAACAATTAGATTTTTGGAGATATTTTAAAATTTTTCTACATGAGTTGATAAACTCATCTAGTCAATGGCTCTGTGAAATCTAATTTGGAGGGGAGTACATAGTTTGTTAATAGGGCACAGGATGATTGAGTGCATATATTTTACAAATAACAGCCTTTTCTGTAGTACTTATGCAGTGCTTTTCACTACATTGCAGCTATGATTATTCGGGATATGGAGCATCCACTGGAAAGGTAAACAATAAATGAAACTCATTTGTTTATGGAGTTTCTTTTTTACCTTGAAAATATGTTCTTTATAGTAGTAAGTAATAAACTTTAGATTAATCACCTTTGAATCTGTCACAAAGATTTTGTAATATAAAATGAATGAATTCTAAAAAGAAATACTCCTCATTGTCTCGATTTATATATTTATACGGTTCAGCTTATTATAATCGTGTGAATTGATTATGGCTTAAATTTTGATAGCCATCTGAGTTCAACACATACTATGACATAGAGGCTGTCTACAATTGTTTGAAGAGTGAATATGGAATCAAGCAGGAGGATGTGATTTTGTATGGCCAATCGGTTGGGAGTGGACCAACACTGCACTTGNAGAGTGAATATGGAATCAAGCAGGAGGATGTGATTTTGTATGGCCAATCAGTTGGGAGTGGACCAACACTGCACTTGGCTTCTCGTTTACAGAGGTTGAGAGCTGTTGTTCTTCATAGTGCCATCCTTTCAGGAATACGAGTTCTGTATCCTGTCAAGATGACATTCTGGTTTGATATTTTCAAAGTAAGTTTCATTTAAATGTTTTATCCGATCTCTTTTGTTCAGTTTCAAATTTCTTGGTTTTCTATTGAGGAAGATCTGTCAAAATTTCAGAATATAGACAAAATAAGGAACGTCAGCTGCCCCATTCTTGTCATCCATGTAAGGAAAACCTCTTTCTTTCTCTCATTTTCCATATGCATTCTCCGCAAAGCTTCTGTCTTGCACAAACCACTATAGTAATTTCTTTGCGAAATACAGATGTTTAGAACATATTCTCTGCTTCTTGCCAATTTCTTCTTTTTGAGAAATGACTATGTATTGCTATTCGATTGGTTTATTAAATTATTAGCTGCTGCATTCCTTTTATTTTTTATTAATGTTACCATGTGGCTAGTGTTTTAACTTTTATGTAAGAACTAAGGAAAGGAATCATGGAGCCACTGACATTAACATTTAGCCTCTGTGCTGCACCTGCACAGTTTTACCTGCGAAAGCTTGTTGTGGTTACATATAGTGCCTATAATGTCCGCCAATATAAGATATTGAGGATCACACATACACGAGTTATTGGATTTTTTCAGAAGTCCCAGATTGGTGAAGCAATTAACACTATTAGGTTGATTGTTCTTGGCCTGGGAATTTTGTCCCTATTATGGTGGCATTAGGAATGGAATTTAGATCTGCAACACAGATTTATATGCATTCATTGTAATTTTTACGGAAACTTACATAGAACTATGCCACTCATTTCAATTTATCCCTCGACTTTACTTTTTCTCAATTGATATATCCTATTCTGAGTTGTTACATTGAATGCGAGCCAACTAGGATGGAAAACTTTTCGAAATTCAATGTAACTGAAACTAGAGAAAATTAGAGGAGGTGCCAACTTGGGACAAATATGAGCAATTTGAAATGTTTTTGGCGCTGTACACTTAATACCAATGCCTTCACTAATGCAAGGGAGTACTTTGATTGAAGATGAAGGCAGCCAAAAAACAAGAAGAAGTTGAACATAACATAGGCTCAGGCGGTGAAAAAATGCATGCTTGCTGTGGCTTTAAGAAAATAAAACTCTCAGATAGCACCGAAGGAGGAAAAGAACTCATGCAATTGACCCCTAGAAGATGGAGGGTTGAAGGGAGAATTGTAATACGTGGAGATTCCATAATGCAACAGATGGAGGAAGCATTGATCAAACAAATGCTCTGTTTTTAATGTCGTCACTAGCTAACTGATAAGTTGCAGTACAAGCATCCTGTCCATGTGAGCAACCCTATGCTTTCTGCTTGTCCAAGTTAATACAGTTTAGAGAAACATACGTCCTCATTCAAATGCTTCTCCACTGATGATACCCTACTACAACATCTTGGTTTGCTTACCATCAACGGTAGGGTTGATCCCTATTCCCCATAGGTCATGGTCACATGTGTTATATCTTCTCAGTAGAACCAAGTAGCATTTTTTTCTCCCGAGAGATATTCATCCTAAACTGATAGGATATTGGACACCCCTCTTTATGGTTCTTTATTTGAACCAAAGCTTAGTTAGCCATGTTCCCACAATCTCATAATTACCTTGCATATACTATTTGGATACTATTCTTGAATGAAGAAGCTACTCATGAACCATTGAACATTTGAACTCTGCAGAAAATTGCCTAAAATGGTTTACCAGTGACACCATGCTGCTTTTGAGAAAAGGAGAAATGCATAGATCTCCCTACAATATTTAACCAATTGGGCTATGTTTGTGTTTCAGACACCACTGCTGCAAATTAGGATGGAGTGTCTTCAGAACACCAAAATGGAACCTTACCTTTACCTTCAGTACAAGTGGCATCCAGGAAAATTGGACATTATTGCTCTCATGTCGTAGTTATTAGTTCAAGGAACCTGTACCATGAGATGAATGGATCTATAAGAAAAGTGAGGTCGGTTTCCTTTACTATGGAAAATGAAGTATATACTCTAAACAAAGCATGATACTCTTGTGTTTTAGTCACAAGAAGTGCAGTAAAGTGATTGTATTTCTTTGGTATATATTCTTCCACTGCATACTGTCTTGTTCCCACTATATGTTTCTACCTATTTCCCAATATTTTCCTTGTTTTGTGGTCATTATCCCTCTTGTTTGGCTCATTCTAATCCGGCCTACTTCTATGTGCTTTCGTTAATTTTGCAGGGAACAAATGATGAAATTGTTGACTGGTCGCATGGTAAGCGCTTGTGGGAACTTTCCAAGGAGAAATATGATCCATTATGGGTCCAGGACGGAGGACATTGTAACCTTGAAATGTTTCCCGAGTACATGAAGCACTTGCAGAAGTTTGTAAATGCAATGGAGAAACTCTCCTTCACAAAACGAAGCAATTCACGCCCTGCATTGAGTCCAAGTATAACAGAATCCAAAAACAATAAGTGCTTGAGATTCGGAAAAAGATAACCTGTTCTTCCTCACCATTTCATAATTACATGCACAAAAATAGCTGGTGTCTAGCAAGAGTGGCCATAGCAGAAAATATACAGTTGTTTGCTTCGATTTTCATTGTCTACGAGTCTGGCCACTGGCACAGCTTATCTGGCTCGGTATGTTTCTCAAGATTCCAAGCTGATATCAACGGTAAAGTTTTGCCTGTTTAATCCAGATCCTGCTCACTAATCATTTCTGACATGGAAAACTCAGAACTCTTTACCTGACTCGTATTTTTCTTTACCACTATCCCACTAAACACGACTTTTAATGTCGTGTTTAGCAATCACGACTTTTAATGGGTGCTGAAAAACAGATTGAAGGGGTTCTGGTTTATCAAAAATATTTTCGAAAAATGCCTGTCATGTAAAGGACTCAGAAAACTCTTTCACTTATCTTTACCATTCATGTGAAAACGTTCTCTAATTGTCAGCCAAATTACGATTATCATTGAACAAGATCTGGAATTTCTTGTATGATAAACAAAATTCAGCTCTATGTAGAAACCATCGTATCGTGTCTGTGTCATTTTTGTCTCATGCAAGGTTCGTTCCTGTAGTAAAAAATTTAACAGTAACCTTATACTTACCAACAGAATAGTCACTTCTTGCACTCATTTATGTGATGCAACCTTTCTCTAGATGGTATGGTAGTCAAATTTAGGAAATTTTTGACGTTTATATAAAATACAAAAAAAAAAGGTAATGACAAACAGAGAAAAAATAGAATGTCCTTTATGATTTTAGTATTGATTAACCTTACTAGGGTTCATAAGACAAAATAATTATTATAATGGTCACATAGTGTGAAATTTTTGTTTTTGGAGAAATAGAGAGATTATAAGACATTATAACTAGATAATTTTTTTTATCGTTCAACGTTTCTATAAAATAAATAAACAAAATAATACAATACTTTCGTGCTCTATGACCGCATAGTCTAGAAGTATAAATAATAACATTTTACTACATCTTTTTAAAATGAAGGTAAATCTAAATTCCAATTGGGTGACGTTAATTAAATTTTGGGCTACTAGTTACAATTATAAATTCTATATTTCAAAAATAAAATAAAAAATTTGTGTACTTATTATGTTTAACGTTGTATGACCACTACCTTGTGTATGACTCTAGAGAGATAAAAGACTTTGAGCCACGCCAATTTTCAACATAGCTCTAAAGTCTTAGATTTTGTTTGGTCATTCAATATAGTTTGGTATTTTTTCAATTTTCAACATTTGATATCATCCTTATTGTCATAGAGCTGATTTGACCAACAAAGGATTAAGAGTCTAAACAATGGTCAAAATTTTCTCTCTTTTTTCATCATTGAAACATTTTCATTTTCATATAAATATATATATATATATATATAATAAAATAGGAGTATATTTGAATTTTATATCAATTATATTTTTCTCCTCAAAATCATTACCACTCACTTACCTCACCCATCATCCATTTGTCAGACTCAAACGTCAAATCACATCACTCATTTCTATCACATGTTTAATCATTTATATATTTCCTCTATAAAAATATCACATCACACATTTTTATCATATATTTAATAATTTAATATTTGATTAATTTGTATTTAATACATTTTAAAAAAATTTAATATAATGAGATCGATTTTTTGAACGTTCGAATTTTATATTTTCTCGTGTCTTCAGACACGAGTTATAACTAGTATATATATATATATACGAAATAGATTAAANAATAGAATACTTTCGTGCTCTATGACTGCATAGTCTAGAAGTATAAGTAATAACATTTTACTACATCTTTTTAAAATGAAGGTAAATCTAAATTCCAATCGGGTGACGTTAATTAAATTTTGGGCTACTAGTTACAATTATAAATTCTATATTTCAAAAATAAAATAAAAAATTTGTGTACTTATTATGTTTAACGTTGTATGACCACTACCTTGTGTATGACTCTAGAGAGATAAAAGACTTTGAGCCACGCCAATTTTCAACATAGCTCTAAAGTCTTAGATTTTGTTTGGTCATTCAATATAGTTTGGTATTTTTTCAATTTTCAACATTTGATATCATCCTTATTGTCATAGAGCTGATTTGACCAACAAAGGATTAAGAGTCTAAACAATGGTCAAAATTTTCTCTCTTTTTTCATCATTGAAACATTTTCATTTTCATATAAATATATATATATATATATATAATAAAATAGGAGTATATTTGAATTTTATATCAATTATATTTTTCTCCTCAAAATCATTACCACTCACTTACCTCACCCATCATCCATTTGTCAGACTCAAACGTCAAATCACATCACTCATTTCTATCACATGTTTAATCATTTATATATTTCCTCTATAAAAATATCACATCACACATTTTTATCATATATTTAATAATTTAATATTTGATTAATTTGTATTTAATACATTTTAAAAAAATTTAATATAATGAGATCGATTTTTTGAACGTTCGAATTTTATATTTTCTCGTGTCTTCAGACACGAGTTATAACTAGTATATATATATATATACGAAATAGATTAAAGATTAAATATCGAAATCAAAACAACTAATATTTTGAATATAAATTTTTAATATTTTTTTCTCTTTTTATATCTTATTTTCACAAGGTGTAAAATATTTTTGTTTTTGAGCTGCACAAAATTTTGCACTGAATCGAAATTTTAATTCTTAGTTTGAGACGCATCTCACTCTGGTTTTATACTCTGTTTAGTATGATAGAAAAATAAAAAAATGAAAAGTTAGGAGGATAAAAATTTGAAGGGATAAATAAAACATCATATTTGGTAAGAAAAGAAAATGGGAAAGATGAAAAAGTGGATGAATGAGCTTTCCTTCCAACTCACTAAACTCAATCTCTCAAAAATTAAAAGGAAATAGATAAAAAATTAATTATTTGTATTGAAATGTATCTTATTTGTATATATATCACTTGATATATACATATATTATGTATACATTAATTTCATATATAAATACATTGATAAAATATGTATTTATATATTTTTTAAAAAATTTAAAAATAAAAAATATACATATATTATGTATAAAGTAATTTCATATATAAATACAATAATAAAATATGTATTTATATATTTTTTAAAAAAAATAAAAATAAAAGAAAAGAAAATATTTATTCTATCTTAGGTAAAGGTGAAAATTTTTGACTCAACACGATGACACGACTCGAATTCAACACAAATTTTCTGACACGAACTTGATTATAATTCGACACAAAGTTGAAAATGACCTGATACACTAATATGAAATATAAACGGCTTATATTCAGTTCAACCTATCAAACTCAAAATTAACCTATCAAACTCAAAATTAACACCAACAATCCATTTATTGTATGGTAATAAACATTTTCTTCATTTTCTCATTTGTATGGTAATACGAAATTAATATGTTTAACTAATATCATAGACATAAAATGTTTATTATTTTTAACTATTTATTAAGCACTGACATAATTATTATATAAAAAATATATTTTTACTTATTATTATTATATTTATTTAAGTTAATTTTTAGTTTATAAAAAAAGTATGAGCATGAATTCAATTAAGTGAAAATAGAATATTACCGTTAAATTTTTTATTTAAAATTTATGTGTGTCAACACGAATACGAATATAAATACAAGACAAAAATAAATAGGTCAACTCGAACACGACACGATTAGTTAAATGAATTGAGTTATGTTTGACTAATATTCGACACGAACCTGCAATGACTCGACACGAATCTGACACGGTACAACTCGATTATCACCCATAATCTTAGCAAGCATTCCAAAAAAATAAATTAATTTTTTTATTTTTCATCCACCTTATCAAATATAAAAGAAGAAAAATGTATTATTCTTACTGTCTTTTTTTAAAGGATAAAAAATATATCATTCTTATTTTTCATCCCTCTTACTTTCTATCTTTTCTATCAAACAAAACATTAGGGCTAATTATTAAAACGGTTGCTTAAGGCTTATAAATTCTAAAGACCCGAAAAAAAATTTGGTCCCAAAATTTAATAAGGCCGAATTATTTATTTTAATTGCATTATTTCATATAACGGCACTATTATGTCATTAAAACCTAATGGACCAAAAAAAAACATGATAATAGAATAAAAGTTTTCTAAAATTTAATTAAAGAGTAAAACTTAATTGTCAAATTAATATAATTTAATGTTTTTTCACAAAATAAATAAATAAATTTTTATTACCTATTTTCCGAGAATTATATGCCCCAATTTCAGAAATGGGTCCCACCTTCTTAAACCTACGACGTGCGTGTCATTTCACAAAAGGCTGCATTTTCTTGCTGGAGAATCTTAAGTGGTATCCACTTAAGTTCTTTGTAACCAATAAGATGGTGAAACGTGGAGGAATCTGGTACCTTTACAGTGTCGGAACATGTATGTAATTAATAGGAGGTAATGTACTTTTGGTACTTTGCTGTTGATACTGGACACTGGGTGACCACTCAAAATTGGAGTTGACTACTGGATAGAAGAAGTAAATTTAATTTCGTATCTTCAACTTTTACCATTTTAATCAATATTTTTATAATTTTTATGAGTTATTTTATAAATAAAAAATTTATTATATTTATCGATGATTTATTATTTTTATAGATATTTTTATCATATTTGTGATAATTATTTTTATCACTTGTCTTTGGTACAAAAAAATTCATCACATTTATGAGTATTTTTACTAAATTTATGGATATTTTCACCACATTTATGTATATTTTCACCACACAGCATTGCAACAGATATTTTATTATCTTATAAATTAATAACAATTATAAATTACCAAATTCAAAATGGATCACCAAAATTGATAAATAGATGATGCCAACTTGGATANATATTTTATTATCTTATAAATTAATAACAATTATAAATTACCAAATTCAAAATGGATCACCAAAATTGATAAATAGATGATGCCAACTTGGATAACTGGACCTAACCAATTTCAAATTTCAAATTTATAATTTTATAATTTTTATGAAGCTCTATACAAGTTTTTTGGGTTAAATTACAAGTAAAAAATTAGGATCGATCCTAAAAATTTATAATGTTTTGAGTCATTTTATAACTTTTAGGGTTCAAATTATAATGTTTTTGCATCTATTGTCATATATAATTTTTTAACGATTTTTTTTTATAATTTTTATAGATCATTTATAAGTTTTGAAAATTTTGTAATCGATTCTAGTATATATTTTGATCGATTGCAAACTTTCAAATTAGTATCGACCCTGAATGAATTAGTCTTATTAAAAAAAAATTACAAGACCCACTAATTCAACGATATAGAGCCATTTTTTATTCTATTTAGGATTCTAAATTTGAAATCCCATAGAAAAATGTGTTACAAATATCTTGGTATTTTTACTAACTCCATACTCCCATAGATCATAGGCTCTACTTTTTCAACTTAAGGGTAGGAAATATTTCATTATCATAAGTAGAGTAAGGGTGAAAGCAAAAGGGCAAGTGAGTTCAGCAGCATTTATATATGATATAAGGGCCAAAAAAATCACCAATTATTTTGTGTCTTGACTAGTAGGGTATGTTTGGATCGTGGGCTTAAGGGGATAATTTTAATTGGATTAAATAAAAAAAAATATGTGGAATCCATACATTCCACGTCTGGTAAGTAAANTATGTTTGGATCGTGGGCTTAAGGGGATAATTTTAATTGGATTAAATAAAAAAAAATATGTGGAATCCATACATTCCACGTCTGGTAAGTAAAAAATGTATCAAAAATTCTATTCAAATTTTATTCCAACCCAATTCTAAACATCAATTTTAACCTATCTATATGGGTTAAATGAAACTCAAGAGGGGGGTTGGAATTTTTTTTTTACTACGGTAACTAATGCATATGACTAAATTGTCCTATTCTCTTCTCTCTCTCTCTCGTCACCTCTTCCTATTTTTTTACAGATCTAATTTTTTTTAACAAGTTTGTTTTGTCAAAGCAAGACTCTCCTGACATACCTCAAGAATATCAAGTCATCTTCTCCAACAAGACGACTAATTTAAATAATAAATTAATTCTAATAAAATAATATTCGATTTGGACTGATATTAATTAATAAGAGCTTGAATTAATTTTCAATAGTACTCATAACATATGAACAACCATTTAGAGAATATGAAATTACAACATTTTTAAAAATTACATGTAAGAAAAACTTGTTTGGAATTGGTTAAATACTAATTTATATATCAAACATAGTGTTGGATTGAATAAATTAAGGGCAAAACAGTCAATGACACCATATTTCATCACCCTTGTCCATGGTTCTCACAAAAGTGCTTATATATTATCTAAACATTGGAAATGATAGAATATAGCCATTAAATCATAACCAGTCAATGACAAATGAATTTGGAATAGAAAATGATAATTTTTTAAATCTCTAATCCAGTCCAACTTTGTGATCTAAAAACACCCTTATAATGTGTCCCCACAATGGTGATGGCCATCCAACACATTAGAATAAAGCTCTAAAGAGGGGTTGCAACATGTAAGCAACTCTTCCATTGTTATATTTGTTAGGCTCTCCATTTGTGGTTTTTAGTTTTCTATGGTTCTTATTAACATTAACCCATGATATTAGTGCCAGATAATGAAGCTTGACATAAATTGAAAAAAAAAAAGACTCGGATTCAAATCTTACCAAGAACAACTACTATACATGGTATCCACATTGAATAGTTGGAAAAGTAAAAAAAACGATGGTATCATAAAAATATTCTCGAAATAACGGTGTTTATCCATCAAAACAATACAAATAAGCTTTATTATGTCCTTTCCCTTCAAGTTGTGCAAAAATTTCCAAATAAACTTCAATTTTGTTTGCGGAATATTTACTTCCCAGCTGCAAAAACACCTTTCTTTCTTTATCAAGGAATTTCCTAGAAAACTTCAACTTAAATGGCAGGAAAAACAAATTCATAAATGACAGAAGCAATCACCATTTGTACAACAATTTCCATTCATTGAGAAAGGAACAAAGTTGCACGTAATAAATGCAATTTTTTTAACCAAAATAGTTGTCTTCTTTTTTATTTTTTTCTAAAATAATCTTATTCTCCTCTACCGTCCTTTCTCACTTTTTGCTCAATTCGGTATTCTTTTACATAAAAACACGGTCTAAGTTTGTATTTTTCAACGTAAAAACATATTTGTAAAGCATAATGTGAAGGTTTTCTTTGAAAGTGATTTTTGGAAGCGTACTTTTACTTTGGAGATCATTGATTCTAATAAATGTTCCATATAAGGGTAAACTAGTATTTTCACTGTCATTGTGTACTAGGGTAGATCTTGAATTTTCAAAACCTAACCAGAATTTAGCCCGTTTAAAATCTATTAAACTTTAGCCTCAAGTCACGCATATTTCCCATTCAAATAAAGCAATTGTTTTGCTGGAGGCTGTAAATGGCTTCCCACAAAAGGAAACGTGAATGTCATTAGCATTAACTCCTAAATTATAACAAGGATTCTGCATAGATTTGGCGTTGTATTTTGTACGCTGTGTTTCCATTGGACCATAATGCCCCCATGAAATTACTTATTTTTCTAGCCTCCATTCTATTTTCATTTTGTAAGACATTTTTACATATGATGAGACGTTTAAACCAGCAATCTTAAAGTCTAATGGGGACAGTTGTCACCTCTAGCCACCATTATCTCTTTTTTTTTTTTTTTTTTTTTGTGTTCTTACTTAATATTTAGATTTATATTAACTATTCTCTCAAGTTCAACAACCATTACCGAGCCATTGCTCCTTTGATTAAGGGGTATATTATGCAAATGAGAGAGGATAAATATTAATGAAACTTGGCATTTTCAAAGTAACTTGCTAGGTCACCACCAAGACCTTGGATTATGATGTGCTCAATTTGAAGATTCTCTCGATGTTCATATTTATTTGGTGGGCCCTTCTCCTAATCGGTCCCACCAAAAAAACGATGAGTTTAAAATTGAGGAAAGTAGTAGAATTTTTAAATTGAGAAGGTTCCCATATTTATATTTTTATGGTAAAATAAAATAATTTAGGGTTAAAATTGACATAAATTTAGCAGATTAAAGTTGAAATTTACATGAACTTAAAAGTAACACGACCTACAAACACGAGTAATAAATTAATTAGATTAGTCTCAAACATGAATAATTTAAAATTCAGACACTTTTGACTAGAATTATATCAATAAAATATCAAATTCTTTGTCATTTTTTTTTATAAAGTATTAACACGCATCATTGTAAAATAAGAAAATGTGTTTTACTTATTGGTACTATAATGTTAAATTTATTTGGACTTTTAGTTTATAAAAAATAATTTTGATTAACATTAAAATTTTATTTTTAAATATTTTATTCACCAGTTATAAACATCAATTCAAATATAATATAAACTATATATTCACGAATTATATGTATTAATTGAAACACAATAGGAAGCATATGAATCAATCCGTAGACACAAAACGTCGTAGTTGCCACTTGCCACTCTTAGTTCTCGGTGGTTACAGTGACATCATGGTGTACCATATATAACCTGCTGATGGACATCAGTTGCACCTAATCATTTCTAAAGGGCTTCCACTTCCAAATATGCACGCCTCTGGCTTCATGTGAGAGAGAGGGAGAGAGTTCTAGGAAGAAGACCATAAAGGAATGCTCCATTATTCATCGTAGCATTAGGGATACTATATATCATCTACATAAACAATATTATATTACAAAAGGTTTAGCCAAGAAAAAAACAAAAGACAAACATAGGACGGAGAGAGAGAGAGACAGAAAGAGAGAAAGAGAGAGGGGGGAGCGATGCGATGACTAAGGTACTCGTACGATTTGGTGTATTGTTGCGGTGAAGCCATTCACTCTGCTCTGGCCGTCACAATCATTGTCGACACGTACAGCTTTATTTACTCCAACAAGTCTCTAGATGTCGCTACTGTCAATCTCTCTGATCTGTCCCAAATCTTCANTCACAATCATTGTCGACACGTACAGCTTTATTTACTCCAACAAGTCTCTAGATGTCGCTACTGTCAATCTCTCTGATCTGTCCCAAATCTTCAGATAATTCACGTTCTTTGCCAACTGGGTTTGTTGAAAAAGTTAAGGAACTAACGTTTCAATGCTAGAAACCCAAACGTTTGCTTTGTGATCTCTGTGTTTCTACCCTCTTTCTCATCTGGGTTTTTGAAATTGTTGATCAAGAGATGACTGTAGAGGAAACTAGAGGAAGTTTTGGGGTTGAAGATGAAAATAATGACAAGTTTCCTGTGGGTATGCGTGTTCTTGCTGTGGATGATGACCCAACTTGTTTGAAGCTACTAGAGGGTTTGCTTAGGAAATGCCAGTATCAGGGTTTGATTCCTCTCTGTTTTTCTTGTTTCTTCTCTATGTCAGTTTTTATTTCATTTATCGAAATTGGTTATATTATATAATTGTTATCTGTTAATTTCTTTGATATAATTTGCTTTTCTTTTGTTGAGTAATTGGAATTCTGCTGAATGATTGTTAATTTGGGGGCCTATTTCATTAATTGGAATTGGTCTGTTGTTTTGGTACCATGTAGTTGTCAGTTTCTTGTCATGAGTTTGTACTCGATCAATCAGATTTTGGGTCTCAATTTTTGTGCTGAATTAGTGTTCAGTTATCTTCCTTAATTTCTGAATATTTGTTTCAGTTCTGTTCATGTAAGGTTCCAAATATCCGTTGACTCGATTTTTGTGTTTTAATTGTAACTTGTAAACTGTTTGAGAGATTGTAATTCGAGTTTAATCATATAGCTGCGTTCAAGAGTACTATGATTTATTTCAGTTTCTAGTTTGGAGACCTCTCCTTTGCAAAGTAAGCATTTGTTTTCCCCCTCTACATGATCTGAATTCAGATTAAAGTTCCACTTTGTAGTTTTAAGGGTATACAAAATATTGTGAAACATGGTTTTGGTCAATCGGTGGTGCCTCAATTGGGTGTCCAAATTTTTTTTGATCTAATAGTTCTGCTTTGAAAGACGTAGACGAGTGGGAGTTCAGTCATCTTAAATTCCATTTAGTTTGATCTGAAATTTTAATAGGATTGTCAAGTAATTTTGGACTGTTGGCTCGGTTAAACAATCTATTTTAATCTTATTTGTGGCATTTTCCCTCAACATTTTTTTCCTCGATTTAGCAGATCTTTCTCCTAAACATGATTTATGGCTTTTGCAGTTACAACGACAAGTCAAGCAAGAATGGCGCACATGATGTTGAGGGAAAACAAAAACAGATTTGACCTGGTCATCAGCGATGTCCATATGCCGGACATGGATGGTTTTAAGCTCCTAGAGCTTGTTGGTCTTGAAATGGACTTACCAGTCATCAGTATGCCCAAATTCCCTTTTCTGCCTTTGATGCAGACTTAGATTAAGCTATGCATGTTCAGTATTGAGCAATATGTAAGGCATGGATTAATTTCTAATTTTTATTGTGTGTCTCGCGATGGTTTTAGTGTTATCAGGAAACAGCGATCCCAAACTAGTTATGAAGGGGGTCACCCATGGTGCTTGTGACTATTTGGTGAAACCTGTTCGACTTGAGGAGCTCAGGAACATATGGCAACATGTACTCAGAAGAAAGAAGTTTGACTCCAAGAGCCAAAACAATTCTACCACTCAAGACAAGGCTCACCAGGGAAGTGAAGGACCTGCACCAACAGGTAATGAAGATCAGAATGGTAAACTCAATAGGAAAAGAAAGGACGAGGAAGAAGAAGGAGAAGACAATGGACATGAGAATGAGGACCCATCAGCACAGAAGAAGCCTCGGGTTGTTTGGTCTATAGAGCTCCATCGGAAATTTGTCGCAGCAGTTCATCAATTGGGCATTGAAAGTGAGTCCTTCAACACCAATAGTTTGGTGTTATGCATTTCATTAAGGGATCTTGTGATTGATGCCTTTCTCCCCCTCCCCTTCTTTCTTGTTTCCAATGCAGAAGCTGTTCCTAAAAGGATACTTGACCTGATGAATGTTGAAGGCCTTACTAGGGAAAATGTCGCAAGCCATCTCCAGGCACAAATCTTTCCTTCTTCCTTCGTTATTCTAGTGTGACTTAAAGAATTTTTGTGCCTTCAAAGTGAGACATTGAAAATCGAAGGACTGTTTTGGCCCTAGTAAAATTGTATGGAATTTGGGAATAAACAGGGTAAATAGCAAGAAGAAATGAAACCATTAGGTGGCAAGTAGTTCAAAAATATATTATTATGGTTCAAGAATATTTTACGTCCGAATAATTTGGAGCTCAAATGTGTGTTGCACTGTTCTCATTTTGTCAAAATAACTACCTTGAAGCTTACTTTCTCGTACTTGCAGAAATATAGGCTTTACCTGAAGAGGATCAGTTCTGTGGCAACCCAGCAAGCTAACATGGTTGCCATACTAGGGGGTAAAGATTCCTCTTATGTGAATATTGGTTCACTAGATGGACTCAGAGATTTGCAAACTTTGGCTGGACCAGGAAGGCTTTCAAATCCTGCCGCAACGTCATACCCACCCAGTGGGATGCTAAACAGACTCAATAGTCCTGCTGCTGTGGGCCTCCATACCTTTACATCTTCTGCTCTGATACAACCAAGTCATGCTCAAAACTTGAGCAACTCCATTGATACTATTGGAAAGTTCCAGTCAGTTGTTTCACCAGCAAACCAGNACGTCATACCCACCCAGTGGGATGCTAAACAGACTCAATAGTCCTGCTGCTGTGGGCCTCCATACCTTTACATCTTCTGTTCTGATACAACCAAGTCATGCTCAAAACTTTAGCAACTCCATTGATACTATTGGAAAGTTCCAGTCAGTTGTTTCACCAGCAAACCAGAATGCATATAAGTTGCAAGAGAATAAGTGCACTTCCCACATTCGGGACTTTAATCCCATTGATGACCCAAAAATCTTTGCAGCTGGTAATACCTTCACAGATACCAGAGTTGTAGTTGGTAGCTCAAAAAACCCTCTTATCAGTGCCCCAAGCAATCAATTGATGTTACGAGGGAACTCACAGCAAACACAAACTGGAGGAGGATTTCAGAGCCATTACTCCCTTAAAATGGATTCTTTGAACTCAGAATTTTTCACTGTTGGTGTTAGTGGTTCTGCTAATTTTCTGGATCAGGGTAGATGTACTGCAAACTTACAGAGTGCTTTCCAATCATCACAGTTTCCATTAAATTCTTTGCCATTGAACGAATCTTTCAATCATGATCAGTTGCCTCCCAATAGCATGAGAGATAATAATTCTTTAGTGTGCCCTCCAATCCAGAACAGCCCACTTTATTTTTCTTCTACCACCACAGCTTCAGCACCTCTTGAAGATTCAAGAGGAGAGATGCAATGCCAAGAAGGCTTGGTTAGTGATGTTACTCAGAATGTGAACCAAGCACTAAGCCAAAGGTGGGGAGGTCATAAACAAGATTACACCCACAACTCTAATAACATTTTCAGCTCCTTTAACTCTCTGGCTCCTGCCAATGGTGTTTTGGCTCCCTCAAGCCAGGTTATGGACCTACAAAATGGAGTCTGCAATAGAAAGCTGGATGTATCTTTTGTTGGCCAATCAAATGGTGTAGGTTCAACTCTTGTACAGCAGAGTGAGGTCGTGAGATCAACTATGGACTCAACGATGAGGTCCAATGAAGACTACTTCTTGGAGCATACAAAGTTGCCTGGTGGTGTTATTTCTAATTCTTATGACTCCTTGGATGATCTAATGAATGCAATGATTAAACGGGTATGATATAATTTTAGAGTTATCTGTTTCCGTTGCTGGTATGTCTACCAATCAAATTAGTTCAAAATGAGTATGACACCAGGCCATTACATATAGGTTCTGGATCTGGTGGTGAATGTAAGTCGAGTCAGAGATGATTGGCAAAGATGTTAATGGGGTAAAACATATTGCATCAAGGATATGAAAATGTTATACTTTAAATGCTTTCTGACAACTTCTTATAGGTATAGCTGAGAAAGATTTCCATGTTGTTCTGTTCTTTTGAGTCTCCTACTGCATAAAGCAGGAAGAGATTTATTCGGAGAATGAATTTGAATTCCTAGTCATTTTGAAGGAACTAATTGGTCGTAACTAGAAAATCTTTTCTATACAGCGGAGACCTACCGAAGGAAATGAAGAAGTTGTGACTGAATGCTTCCATGTTTCATGTGGTCATGCTATAAGATTTAAAGAATCTGCCATGGATTTTATTGCCTAGTGGCCATGCCTTCCACTACGAACCTCATTGTTACTGAAACATATTAGATGCATTGATAAGAAATCCTAATGGATTTTGACTTCTATGTCAAAAAACAATGTGGTGATCAATGAACTTTGCTGTAGAACTATGGGGAAAGTGGGCTACAGAAAACATTGTGGGGATCACGAAAAAATGAGTAGAGTTTATCCAGCGTAGTCCACATATCTGTCAATCAATCCCTCTTAAAAATTGCTGTTGTTATTGTTTATGATGTGCTTGGGTAACTCCCTCTTTGTTTTGTTTTTGCTGAACAATGGTGGCTGTACATGTGCATTGACTATACTTACGTTTATTTCTTTCTATGAATAGTCTCACATGAATACAATCATGAGGTTCTATTTCTTTGGTCTTCTTGGCATAGTGGGATTGTTTTTGAAAATAACCAGTCAATTTATAGTCTTCAGAGGTCACATTCACAATGCCGGCACAAGGCAGTGCCTCCTATAACTAACTGTTCCTGTACATCTGATGCATTCAGCTGCACTATATGAACATACAATATGTTGCAAGTTCAAAAAGGTCCTCATGACAGAATAGTTGCGCTTGTTATTCAAACTGATACACAACGTTCATTTTGCCTGTCAGACTTGATGCACCCTATTCTTGTCCTTATATGGTATTTCCTCTTAATCAGTCATTTCCTTTGATGGCATATTATAGCCTAAAGTTCTATATGTGCGTTCATGACTTTGACTGATATAGTCTTAGGGGCATAAGCTATGAAAATGGAGACTAGATTTTTCTGTTAAATTATATTAGGAGGGTTCACACTATCATCCATTTCTCCCCTGCTGGCTGTTAGATATTTACTAAGTGAAAAGCATAAAAGTTCTTCTTACTCTCATACATTCTTGGAGAAAGAGTCTGAACCCAAAAATGTGATTATTTGCAAGCTGTCGACAAAATTAATGGTAGAAAGCATGACAAGTTCGTAGTGGTAATTGCATGTTAAGTTACAAACCATCTGTTCTCCTAGATACATGCACTTGTGGAGGCTCGAATTTAACTGTCTTGTCTTCTTTTGATGGACTTGTACACCTCTGTACAGTTGAGTAGTTGCACTACTTCTGATTTGCAAGTAAGGCTTTGAATGAAAGCAACCGTGTATTTACAATGAAATCTCTTGGCAGCACTACTTTCTTTCCATCATTTTTCCATGATTCTTGAAGGCATTATCTAAGGATTCAGTGTCACTTTGATGCAGGGACATGATGGGACGGTGTTAATGGATGGTGAATTTGGATTTGATGCTTACTCTTTTGGATCATGTATGTGAGACTCTTCTAGCTGCTGATTTCTAGAGAACAGATTGAGCTCCAGCCAAGATAAATCCGCTCACAAGGAATTTGTAACAATATGTAATTTCTTCTACTTTTTCCCCTTGTCCCCCATTACAAAAGTTTATTGTCATGGTTGCAATTGCAGCCATTGCAAGGTTTTTCTCCTTATTTGTTTTTATATCTATCATTGCCACTTCCGTTCCTATTTGTAGAACAATGCCACTGGAAACTCAGTTATAAAGCATCATCTTTTATTTTCGTTGCGAACTGTTACCCCTTCCCTTGCCAATACCTTGAAGTCATCCTCCGGGGATTTATTCTGGTTAGTACTTGATGCATTGTGTGTAATGGAACACCATAATCAATGCATGGAGCATGAAATTGCATGTGAAAAGTATATATCATTCATACGAATGCAACATCTAAGTATGAAGTTAAAGGTAGGCCAAAGTAGGACATATTTGTGAACATATCAGAAGGACAAAAAAACAAAGTCATACAGCTTCATATTTAGACTCATTAATTCGAGCCATTGAATCCAGGAAAAAAGATACACCTAGCACAGAGAGAGAGATGATCGTCTAATTTCCTAGGATGACAACTTGAGCAAATTTGCTTGCCCGTTGGTATATAAATTCCGCAGATGGATCAATTGACAAGTATAACATCGAGAACAAAAACTACTTTACTTGCAACATCTACTCCCCTTCCCAACCCAGTTTACGGGCTCTTTGCTCCCACGAGGAAGTTATCTTCCTTTCCCTAAGCAACAATGCCTCAGCGCGCTCTCTGGCAGCCTCACAAGTTTCTGTGGCAGTGTTGCATTTTTCAGCCTCTCGTTGGTACTGGGAAGCCAACCTTCTTGCTTCTCCAAAGGTGATGTTCATATGGTGGACGTGCTCTTCGCTAACCATTTCCTGTAGCTTCAGTTCCTCGGACAATAGGTCCACAAACTGCTTTTCCATCTCCTTCTTCAGATCTGGGTCATCTTTTCCACAGTCTGTATTGTGGCCACAAATGATTTGACAAGAGATATGCAACAGATCAAAGAAAAGTTGATCACTTTCAAGTTCTTAAACTACATTGATGAAACATTGAGAACAAATCTAAGGAATTCAATTCAAGTTCTTCACCACATTAAGTTCAAAGGATGGACTCTAACCTGTAACAGAAAGATTGGCTAAGCCTGAAAAAGAAACAAAAATTAGAAGGTGTTAGTACAAATAAACTCTCGAGTTTATTGCAATATTAAACTTAAATTCAAATGCAGTATGCAACAGAAAGTAATCTAAGAGAAGCATAAGGAAACTAATATGGGGAGGAAGCTCCGACTTCTCCATCAACTTAGACGCTAAACTAGTTCCACGCAACATTTAAGTAATAAGACGAGACACTGCTGAATGGAAAACAACACACGACAAAGAAGCACAAAAGAAAGAAATTGAAATCTGAGGATAACAAATGTTTATTAAACCATCAAGAGAAAGAGATTTTTCAGTTCCATAATTGCTGCGACCAAACAAAAACAAGTGCAATCACAATAAATGGACCTTAAAGTAATGGACATATGGCCGTAACTGATGAAAACACACGAGCTGAACACAAAAGCGCACACAACGAGGACACAAAAGTGGAGAGTGAAATGTTTATTCTTAATCACTTCTTAACCATAGCAACTGCTAATGAAAGCCTCACAGTATTCAGTCATAAACCAGTGAGGAAACATGCTAGAAAGGCACAGGTAAAACTTACTGCATGAGTGTATATTTGTGAAGTTTGAAGGTTCACAATTATCTACTATTACGATACCCTTCTGACTGAAGAATAAGGGAAATAAATTATAGTATATCAAGATTGACAATCAGTGACAATCTAAAATTCGTGCATTTTCTCTCTGATACAGGGTCATTCAATAACAAGATCTTTGCAATCTCATAATCGGCTCCAGTGATAGACCTTCAAAGTTCCAAGCATCTCAATGATTTTTCAAACATGTTCTGAATTTTAGAAATTGAGAGAGAGAGNTGAGCTGAACACAAAAGCGCACACAACGAGGACACAAAAGTGGAGAGTGAAATGTTTATTCTTAACCACTTCTTAACCATAGCAACTGCTAATGAAAGCCTCACAGTATTCAGTCATAAACCAGTGAGGAAACATGCTAGAAAGGCACAGGTAAAACTTACTGCATGAGTGTATATTTGTGAAGTTTGAAGGTTCACAATTATCTACTATTACGATACCCTTCTGACTGAAGAATAAGGGAAATAAATTATAGTATATCAAGATTGACAATCAGTGACGATCTAAAATTCGTGCATTTTCTCTCTGATACAGGGTCATTCAATAACAAGATCTTTGCAATCTCATAATCGGCTCCAGTGATAGACCTTCAAAGTTCCAAGCATCTCAATGATTTTTCAAACATGTTCTGAATTTTAGAAATTGAGAGAGAGAGAGAGAGAGAGAGAGAGAGAGCTCCCAAATTCTTGGATAGAAGAAAATTTCAGCAAACAAACTTGGAAGCGAGTTAAGGCTAGCACGTATAGGCACAGGAAAAAAAATAGAAGTTAAGGCTTGCNCGAGCTCCCAAATTCTTGGATAGAAGAAAATTTCAGCAAACAAACTTGGGAGCGAGTTAAGGCTAGCACGTATAGGCACAGGAAAAAAAATAGAAGTTAAGGCTTGCACATGCACATAACTTCAACACTCTGGAACATTATATTTGGTTAAAGAAATTGCAAAATACTTGCAAATCTAAAACCAAGAAATTTTGTGACAATTTTCTAAAGAAAATTCTAAGTCCTACAGTAAGTTAATAATATTTCATAACACAGATTTTCAAGGTAGATAAGATGAAAGACAATGGCAGCAAGTGCACTAATGTCAAAACTGTGTATGGTGTAATGCGGTCAATCTCCTCCAAACAACTCTGACGTGCAAGCCTGATTGAACTGTTTTGTATGGGAAATTACCAAGGAATGTTGGATTACACAAAAACGAAAAGGAAGGCATACAATGTGAACACCCCTTCAGAAGTAATACACACAGGAGGAAACCTGTTGACCCATAGTAGACTATACTTCCTGGAATTCGTAACAAACANTGAAAAGGAAGGCATACAATGTGAATACCCCTTCAGAAGTACTACACACAGGAGGAAACCTGTTGACCCATAGTAGACTATACTTCCTGGAATTCGTAACAAACAAGTCATGGGTTCTGAAGGAGAGTGAGAAGTGCAATGGATGTTTGCNCGAAAAGGAAGGCATACAATGTGAACACCCCTTCAGAAGTAATACACACAGGAGGAAACCTGTTGACCCATAGTAGACTATACTTCCTGGAATTCGTAACAAACAAGTCATGGGTTCTGAAGGAGAGTGAGAAGTGCAATGGATGTTTGCTGACCATAGGACTTTGAAGCCAGTTAGATATTTGCCTACATTTGATGTAGAACATGCTGAGCTATCTTTTAAGGCACATTAACCTTTGAGTTTATTTAAACCTTGATGAGCTTGATAAGAAAAACTTTTGAGAGGAAGCACAAAGGATTGACTGCAGCATCNTAGATATTTGCCTACATTTGATGTAGAACATGCTGAGCTATCTTTTAAGGCACATTAACCTTTGAGTTTATTTAAACCTCGATGAGCTTGATAAGAAAAACTTTTGAGAGGAAGCACAAAGGATTGACTGCAGCATCGAATTATATTGATCTAAGATATCAACCAAGAGATGAGGAAACAAATAACAGCCTTGCTTATGATTTGCATTTGTAGCATATTATGCCAAGTCCTCTAACTTTCACAGAATGCATTCGGGCAACAAAACATGTACTTGATGCGAGTGCTAATATTTTGTGGGGTCGAATTATCCTTGAAGCACATATAGTAGTTCAAGTTCACTAATTCACAATTCATGACCAAATTCATAAGTATAGAAGATTGCTCATTCCATAGGGGGCTGTTTGGTAAAAGGGTATGGGGGGATTGGCAAGATGAGTTTGGGGAAAATAGTTCAAAAGACCCCCAAACCCCATATTTGAATTAAAAATTCAATCACGGGTTCTCAAACCCAGCCTGCAGCTGGCCCGAATATTAAACCCATGAACATGAGTTTCGTCAAACCTAAAGAGAATTTGGGAAGATGGGTTAATGATACAAAAGACAATTATAACCCTTAATAACATGGGTATGAATTGGATTGATTAAGGAGCAAAATAATCATTTATAGGACAAATGGTTGTTAATAATTATGATGTATCCGTTGATCTTATATGTGTATGTGTTGCATATCAAATATGGATATGAACTGAATTCAATGTTGAATCTCATCTTTGGATTTGGAAGGATTTGGAAAAACCAATTCAAACTCTCCCCAAAAATCCATCCAAGCAAGCCCTAGAAGTAGCAAGAATGCTTTAGTAATGAGATCTATTGATCATTTCAATCCCAAAAACCTTTATTAACAACACAAAACCAGGCAACATGCAAACTTTGCCACCTTTGAAACTTGTCACAAATAAAAAATGAAGCTGTTCAATACTGCACACCGCTTCCTTGTTAAGCATAACTAGTTAACATATGCACCACAAAAAGTCAGATTGTACCCAAATCATTTGCAAGACTCCCAAAAAATCTATATTTGATATCTCTAAAATACCAAAATGGTATTATTCTTTTCATGATTTCCAATTTCAATCAATGTTCACAAGATACTTGCAATTAAATAACGTTCAAACCCCAAATTTCTCCATATGAATCCTAATAGATTTGATTACTAGGGAGGTGGGTATTCCTTACACAAGTTTTCAGCTCTAGGTTCCAAGCCAAAAATACTAATGGACTTAACAAAACAGATGTGGAGACTCAAGTAGTGAATGAACCACATGCACATAGGCGAGGTAGGTTTCAGTTATTTGATAACTTACGAAACATCATTACATATTATGCAAAGAATCAGTGAGGCCAGAAAAGATTTACAGCACATTAAGTCAATAACATGTCAAAAATCAGAGAGGCACAAGAGTAAGACCACAGCATGTATCACAAAGAGTCAAAATAGATCCCCTAAAGAGTTTATCCATTCCCTTTTCATCACAACAATGATCAGTGCAGAGAGAATGATCCAACTAAAAAATAACCAAAATGATGAATCAAATCTCTAAAAAAAAAGAAATAAATACCACTTAATCTCACTCTAAGCAACACATAAACATTCAAAGGAATCAACAACAGATCAAAACTACAACTTCTCTGATATCCACATACAAAAACAGCCCCAAATAGCAAGAAGAACAACAAAAACAAGAAGAAAAGTCGAAACAATGAAAAGGGTACCTCCAATTTCACTCAAATCGCTACATAATTAAAAAAAATTATTGAACGACAAACCAGAATCTGAATGAAATGAATAAANGAAGAAAAGTCGAAACAATGAAAAGGGTACCTCCAATTTCACTCAAATCGATACATAATTAAAAAAAATTATTGAACGACAAACCAGAATCTGAATGAAATGAATAAAAAGATTAAAATTAGTGTAGAAATTCTAAAGCACTTACCAGGAGCAATCTTAAGAAGGGAAAGAGGAGGAGGGCAATCACAAATGCAAGGACTGCAAGAAAGTGAAGTGGCTCTCAACCTTAACCCTTTCTTGAACTTCCAATACAGAGCTGGCCCAGATACACAAAGTGCAGACACCACAGCAAACACCACCAAACAACACCTCAAGCAAGTCCCTGATCGCCTTGACATCTCTCTCTCCTCTCCTCTCCTCCCTCTCTCTGCGACAATCTATTGAGTATGAGATCAAGCAGTGTCTTCATACTGATATGAGTCGTGAGCTGTAATAAAAAACAATGCTTTTCACCTTTCCATTCACTTTCCTAAAGTCAAAGTAGGTGGAAGTACATAGATTTCTTTATTTGCAGTCAAAGCCTGGGATGAATTTAGCTAAATCAATTTTATTGAGAAAATTTTAGTCACGTGCCTTACAATTTATCATTTCTTCAAAAATATTATCACTATTATTCAAAACATTATTGATACCCCTTCTAATTTATATTTAAACATCACTAACACCCAATGCTATTAAACCACCCTTTCTAACCAAAAAAAAATCTAAAATACCAAAATTATCCCTATATAAATTCAAAATAATCGTTCTATATAAAATTCAAGCTAATTAAAATTTATTTTTTTATATATTAAAATTTGAGCAGATTAAAATTCAATTCGAACTAATTAAAATTTATTTTTTTACGTATTATAATTTGATTCTATTAAAATTCAATTTGAATTGATTAAATTTTATTTTTTTTAAGTATTAAAATTCAAGCCTAAATTAAAATTTTATTTTACATATTACAATTCGAGTCGATTTGAGCTCTCCTAGAATTGTTAGTGTCGATTAAAATTCACTTCGAGTCGATTAAAATTTGAATTATTACTTATTAAAATTTGTGTCAATTAAAATTCTATTTAAGTTGATTAAAATTTATTTTTTTACATATTAAAATTTGAGTCGATTAAAATTTAAATTTTTTTATGTACCAAAATTTGGGTCAATTAAAATTTATTTCTAACCTATTAAAAATGAATTTTAATCTAGTCAAATTTTAATAAGTAAAAAAATATAATTTTTAATGGACTCGAATTTTAATACGTAAAAAATAAATTTTAATTAGCTCAAATTGAATTTTAATTGACACAAATTTTAATTTGTAAAAAAATTTAAAAAATAGAGGGGATCTCATTGAAGATATGTCTATCTAGAGGGAATGTGGATGATTTTTTTCTAAAATATATTATGAACAATTTAGTAAAATTGCATTCTAGTTTAAACTTTTAATTTGAAAGGGGTCATAGTGAAGATTCTGAAAATAAAGTTGAGGTGTCTTTGAAAATATGATAAATTAGAAGGGGTGTAGTTAAAATNCGTAAAAAAATTTAAAAAATAGAGGGGATCTCATTGAAGATAGAGGGAATGTGGATGATTTTTTTCTAAAATATATTATGAACAATTTAGTAAAATTGCATTCTAGTTTAAACTTTTAATTTGAAAGGGGTCATAGTGAAGATTCTGAAAATAAAGTTGAGGTGTCTTTGAAAATATGATAAATTAGAAGGGGTGTAGTTAAAATTTTTTCCATTTTCAAAGTATAGTTTTTTTTTTTCTATTAAATTTTAAAAAAAAATTGTTGTGATTTTTATTTTCTAAATTAGTGTTATGTGAAGGTAAACTTCTAAAAGTCTTATTTATATGTGGACTAATGNATCTTTGAAAATATGATAAATTAGAAGGGGTGTAGTTAAAATTTTTTCCATTTTCAAAGTATAGTTTTTTTTTTCTATTAAATTTTTAAAAAAATTGTTGTGATTTTTATTTTCTAAATTAGTGTTATGTGAAGGTAAACTTCTAAAAGTCTTATTTATATGTGGACTAATGTCAGCTGGTGCGATGCACGAAAATTGCACATATCTTCATCCATCTTTCCCTTATTTTTTTTTTTATTGTCATTATATCATTAAAAAAATTAGATAGAAAATTAGTTAAAAAAAACTAGGGTGATAAAATAATTATGTAAAGTTATGATGGTAAAACTATATTTCTTAAAAANGAGGTCTAAGTGTTATGTGTGTACAAACTTAAAGGGTTTATGTATGATATTTTAAATTTTAAATGGTCTAAACAATTAAGTAATAAATTTTAGACAATTTAAGTGTAATTCTCTCTAAAATTTATGNTTTTTTTTATTGTCATTATATCATTAAAAAAATTAGATAGAAAATTAGTTAAAAAAAGCTAGGGTGATAAAATAATTATGTAAAGTTATGATGGTAAAACTATATTTCTTAAAAANATTTTTTTTTTTATTGTCATTATATCATTAAAAAAATTAGATAGAAAATTAGTTAAAAAAAACTAGGGTGATAAAATAATTATGTAAAGTTATGATGGTAAAACTATATTTCTTAAAAAATTTGAATGAGTGATAGTTACATAAGACATGTATTAGAACATAATTAATTAAGTGATAATTAAATGATTAAAAATCCTAAATAAAGGTAAAATGAGAGGGAAGGCTTTGACGCCACCTCCCACCTAATTTTTGCTTCATAGTATAGTAAGATGTATATTTTTTTTATAGCTCCTTATAACATTTTATGCACAAAATTAGATGATGTTGGTTGTTTTGAACTAAAATTTATGAATAATTAAAATCAAACTCTGAGGTTTGTTATTTAATCACTCAAATTAATTTATTATCAAGGTGATTTTATTTCCGTTCATATATACATGGATTTCTGCAACATTTTCATGATATCGTTATGATCAATTAATGCGACTTGGTCGGAAAATATTATTGCTTCTCCATGATATTTGAAATATTTTATATAGATTTTTTGAAATTTGTACGCGGATAACACTTAAACTTTGTCATCAATATCCAAGCAAATTACACCTAAACCTCTGAAGTTTATAGGTGTATAATACTAATATCTATCAAGTTTAAAATGTTATATTTAGATAAAAAATGTTTCAATCAAAAATATAATCAAATATTTTAAAAGTTTACAATCAAATTTCATGTTCTATTATATCATTTATTGAAATAAAATTAAAAATAAAAATTCATAAATTAGTAAACAATTATACTATTTATTAGAATAAAAATTAAAAAATAAACAAGGGATCAAACTNTTAAAATCAAACTCTGAGGTTTGTTATTTAATCACTCAAATTAATTTATTATCAAGATGATTTTATTTCCGTTCATATATACATGGATTTCTGCAACATTTTCATGATATTGTTATGATCAATTAATGCGACTTGGCCGGAAAAATATTATTGCTTCTCCATGATATTTGAAATATTTTATATAGATTTTTTGAAATTTGTACGTGGATAACACTTAAACTTTGTCATCAATATCCAAGCAAATTACACCTAAACCTCTGAAGTTTATAGGTGTATAATACTAATATCTATCAAGTTTAAAATGTTATATTTAGATAAAAAATGTTTCAATCAAAAATATAATCAAATATTTTAAAGTTTACAATCAAATTTCATGTTCTATTATATCATTTATTGAAATAAAATTAAAAATAAAAATTCATAAATTAGTAAACAATTATACTATTTATTAGAATAAAAATTAAAAAATAAACAAGGGATCAAACTGTAGTGGACACAATGTCTTATAGTTTTAATTGAGGTAATTTGGTAGTTTAAACGATCAAATTAAATTCTAATATAATAATTATGATTTTTAAGAAAAAAATGATATTTTTATTTTTATTTTATTTTAATAAATGTCATAATAGAATATGAATTTTGGTTGTAAAATTTGAAATATTTAATATTCTTTTTTAATTAGAGTATTTTTTTTATGTAAATATAAGATTTAAAACTTGAGAGGTTTAAGTATTATACGCTTATAAATTTCGATATAATTTATTAACGGATATACTAACGGACATTGATGACAGAGGTCTAAGTGTTATGTGTGTACAAACTTAAAGGGTTTATGTGTGATATTTTAAATTTTAAATGGTCTAAAAACAATTAAGTAATAAATTTTAGACAATTTAAGTGTAATTCTCTCTAAAATTTATGAAAATTAAATCCACTGGGTTGCACCAAGTCTATCTTAAATAGTAATGGATTCCCCTAGTAGAGATTCAACAAAAAACCCGTTTGCCCAACCAAAATCCTCCCCGGCCCACGAGAAAGCTTAATGGGTTAATTTTGAGAAAAAAAAATGAATATGATTTTGTCTATTTCACAAATTAAATTTGACAAAAATTAGCTAAAAAATATTTTAAAAGGTAAAAATAAAAATTACATATTTTAGAAAAAATTCAAAAGATTTATCTGAAATCTTTTTTAAGTTACTTTCGATGGATTCAAACTTGGGTTATTCACGTTGTCCGGTCGGGGATGTAATATTTTGTCATGCTCCAATTACAATATTAAAAAATATTTTTGATATTATATTTTTATTTTTAATTAATAAAAAAATAACACATATAATATTTTTTACTTAATAATTAAAAATCAGTCGAACTAATATTTATGATTACAAAATAAATTTCAGTAAGAAATCGTGGCCTTGTTATTTTGTCATTGTGAGGAGGATTGTCTCATTCTGATGATGTGGCAATATACCGAAACGATTGCAACAGAAACAAAAATACCGACCGCAGAGAAACATCGATAAAACGTAAACACAGTCTGGAAAAGCAAACTACGATCGAATCATTTTGTTCACGAAGCTTGTTTAGTTTTGGTTCTTCAAATTTTTGGAAGAGAGAGAGAGAAAGAGAGAAGATGAAGATCACGTCGTTGATGGTACTGAAATGCCATCCGGATGGGTCGGATCCGATGGTCTTAGCAAACGCATCGGACGTTAGCCATTTCGGGTACTTTCAGAGATCGAGCGTAAAGGAATTCGTCGTCTTCGTTGGTCGGACTGTCGCTAAAAGGACCCCACCCGGACAACGCCAATCGGTTCAACACGAAGGTTCGTTATATTCTCCTCCTAGTTTAAGGGCTTCGAATTTCGTGATTCTTGTGTTTTGACTTGAATTGTTGTTTCCTTATTATTCATATCAGTTATTGGAGGAAATAATTAGGTTAAATAAAAAGTTTGGAAAATTTGGTTCCATTTCTCGTATGATATATGCTTTGGAGTTGAATTTTTGAGTTTTCTATGTACAATTGCTGGGAATCAGTTGGATGAAGTATTTTTTTTTAACGAATTTCGTAATCTTTGTATTTCAAATCGATTCTGAGTTTTTGGATTATCACAATTAAGTTGCCTCAAATTTTAATGAGAGATTCGTAAAGAAGCCAACTTCTGANATCTGAGTTTTTGGATTATTATTTTATAAATTTCTTGAAATGATTCCATTGTTAACTTTGTTCTTACCATCTTTGTTTGGATATGTTGAGTGACATGATTAGAGTAATTTGTTTGAATTTTCTGGAATATGGAGTTGGGTCACAATTAAGTTGCCTCAAATTTTAATGAGAGATTCGTAAAGAAGCCAACTTCTGATAATTAGAGAGGAATTTACTGATAATTTAGTTGAAATGACGTGGAAATTTTCAACAGCATTCCAAAAGCATGCAGTTTGGAAGGATTCAGCTTTTTTTGGCCACAGAGGAAAAGGAGAATTAGAATGATGGCATTTTCGTTGGTGTCAGTTTGACAGCATGATTGTGCCCTTGGAAGGCCTTGGTATTGGAATTGAAAAAAAAATTAGTTCAAACTTCAAGCTTCAGCAAATTTAATTCAAGTCCAATTCCTGCCTAATTGAGACGCAAGTTTTAGCTCAAGGTTGTTTTGTCGGTCTTCATTTTCAATGAATAAAATGCTGGTGCTGCAAGGATTGTAACGAATTTTCATTCCTTTTGGTGAACCAGGTAGTTATTGAGTCAAACCCACTGTGAACATGTTCAGTAATGATTTTCCACTATAATTGGCTACAAAAATCCATCTATATATACAGGAGTTGTGATGGAAAAATGCCACCTATGCTGAAATTCTTATTGGGAAGCCATCATAAGTTAAAGTTATAAGTGCTAACACTCAACACTTCGTGAATAATAATTGAAACTGAAATATGGGAGAAAGAGCGAGTGCTCAGCTGCCCAAATGATACTTTGAGTTCAGGCTGTCTGACCAAAATGGGGGCAAAACTGCACACTGCTTCTCTCTCTGAGATCCTGTTAATGGCGGGAGTTTTGCGCACTAAGTATGATTTTTTTTTCGGTGTAAGTAGTTCAAGAATATCCTTAATTAGACAAGCAAGGTCTGGCCCAAATAGTGGCTGCTAATGCAGGCTTCTATTATGTTGAGGGAAACTGTGGGTAGACATCAAGGCATAGTAGGTGCAAGTTTGGATATGGAGAAGAGGTAGATTAGCAGAAAAAAGGAAAAAGATGAAACTATTTGAAAGGAAGGGTGCTAATGCTGTCTACAAGATCCCTTGATCAATGAACAACCCAGTGGAGGTGCTAAAGGACATTAGAAGTAGAGGTAGAGGACCTAGAAGAAGAAAGCAACGAGGAGAGCCGCTCTGCCTATTCAACTATCATACATCCTTTCCTTGGTGACGGATTTTGTAAAAAAAAAAAAACTATTGAAGTACTCTGGACTTTCTCTCATTCTTATATATTGACTTGGATTTACCATCTTACCCTTACACCCTCCCTCTTTGAATCTCTTTCCCTTTCCTTTATTTCCTTTTCTTTTGTTTTAGCTGTTTTGAAATTGAATTGGTTATGTATCCAGTTTGTAATGTCAGAACTCAGAAGCATGAAGAGATTTGCCTGCTCTGTTGTAATAATTATGCAGGGGTGTATTTTGTGAAGATATTTACCTAAAGTTAACTTTCTCTTTTACATCTCTTTGTAATAGAGTACAAAGTTCATTCCTATAATAGAAATGGTGTCTGTGCATTGGGCTTTATGGACGATCACTATCCCGTTCGAAGTGCGTTCTCTTTGCTCAACCAGGTAATCCGACATTTCATTGCTATACATCAGTGCTAGTGTACAAATGTGTTGTCTTTCTTACTAGGTATACCTCTGAAATGGTCGTTCTTTCTACCATCCAGTTCCATTGCATACCTGCTATGCTTATTTAAATCCTTTGATATCAAAAAATGTTAACGGTATACTAGTGGAACACATTTTGTTCGCTAACTATGTATTTGTTATACCCCACATTTCATCTTGTTTTGTTATGCCAATNTTCTTTCTTACTAGGTATACCTCTGAAATGGTCGTTCTTTCTACCATCCAGTTCCATTGTATACCTGCTATGCTTATTTAAATCCTTTGATATCAAAAAATGTTAACGGTATACTAGTGGAACACATTTAGTTCGCTAACTATGTATTTGTTATACCCCACATTTCATCTTGTTTTGTTATGCCAATGGTGCAAACACAATCTGTTGATGAGTTTCTGATTAAGAGGAAGTTTAATTTCATATACTCGTTGAAGAAGATAGCTGATGCAAAGGAAATTTTTCAGCAATCAGTTTTAGTGAATGAGACATGGCATCTGCAAGTTCTACTGCATTTGCTCTTTTCATTTCCTATAAGTGATTGCCTTCCTTTCAACTGGTTCTTGGATGCTATCAATCTCCAAGGGGTGGCGGCTGCATGCCAGTCCACTCCATATTGTTAACTGTCTATGTGATTTTCAAGTCCTTCACGGTGGGAGATGTTTATTATCAAGGACAGAAAAACATCTTGCTGTCTGATTGCCTGGCAAGCTGATCAGATGTTAAATGTTTTTCAGGTGCTAGATGAGTACCAAAAGAATTTTGGTGATTCATGGAGAAACGTGCAGGCAGATAATACGCAGCCATGGCCTTACTTGAATGAAGCTCTAACCAAATTTCAGGTACTAATTGACTTCATCTCTGAATGTTTAGCTAGAGACAGACTCGTATACTTCTTTTGAATTCTTGTCAATATATATAGACCTGATGCTGAAGATATATTGGAGAACTTCTTATTATTTTTTCCTCCTTTAAATCTTCAGGACCCTGCTGAAGCTGACAAGCTATTGAAAATTCAGAGGGAATTGGATGAAACTAAAATTATCCTCGTGAGTGTTGAATTCTCTGCATATCTGGATCTGGAAATAGTCTTACTGCTTTCCTTTTTCCTCTTCACTTTGTGTATCTTGTGCATCAAATTTTTTATTTTTTTTTTGTTCTGACGTTTTGACTCCAGTAGAGCCTGTTTCAATGTCCAAATTTTATGAAAATTTGATGGTACATAGCAAAGTAATTTGACCTGAATTGTCGATATGCTATTCTGAGGTAATGAGCACAATTTTGAAAATTTGTAGCTTTCTTGTCCAGTAATCTTTAAGTTTGAGAATTGATATGGGTTTCACACTTTTGTTTGTCTATTTATGCTTGGACAATATCTGTAGATCAATGACTGCCAAAATTTTGCCAAAAAACAACCAGGTAAATGTGACAAATCTGCTAATAAATGGAAGCCCTACAAAATGAAAACTGGCTGAACATTGCTGATCCTAAATTTCAGCAAGTTGGTTTTTTACGGCTTTCCAATATTTGACAGTTATGTTATAGTATGATAACCTTTTATTTCATTCACATGATGTAATTACTGGAGAAACTTAGGTTGTCATGTATTAGCAAAGAGTTGTCGTATTAAATTCTCTATTGTTTTCTCCTTTTGTCCTTTATGTTAACGTGTTTTTTTTTTTGGTTTTGATACAGCATAAGACTATTNGATCACTACTCTATTGTTTTCTCCTTTTGTCCTTTATGTTAACGTGTTTTTTTTTTTGGTTTTGATACAGCATAAGACTATTGATAGTGTTCTTGCAAGAGGTGAGAAGCTGGACAGTTTAGTTGAGAAGAGTTCAGATCTCAGCTCAGCTTCGCAGGTACATGCATATGGTTTGGCTCTTTCAGTAGAACTCGTCAAAAACCTTATGTCTTGCTTGGCAAAGGACAGGATTGGTGTGTTTGTAAACTTGTTCATCCTCTAGCAATTTTTCAGAACGTTTTTGGTTTACAGACATCCCTTTTTGCCAAACTGAGGAGTTCACAGAATATTGCCTCCATTTCAGCTGTCCGAATAAGTTGATCAACTCATGGTCTGTGTGTGATTATGGCATCCTTTACTAGTTTGGNTGATTGGTGTGTTTGTAAACTTGTTCATCCTCTAGCAATTTTTCAGAACGTTTTGGTTTACAGACATCTCTTTTTGCCAAACTGAGGAGTTCACAGAATATTGCCTCCATTTCAGCTATCGGAATAAGTTGATCAACTCATGGTCTGTGTGTGATTATGGCATCCTTTACTAGTTTGGCTTCTTTTGTACTGCTGGTAGAACTACAATTTGGGATGTGGCATTCTCAATATCTCTCTGCATATGATGAAAAGTTCTGTTTCTCTTGAGAAAAATGATTCTTTTCGCATATGAGAATAGAGCATTACTGGTTTTTTCAACTTCTCATTTGACTAGACTTGCACATTACTGATACAATAACTTTTGGTGGTGGGTTTTTCAACTCCACTGGAAACAGATGTTTTACAAGCAGGCGAAGAAGACCAATCAATGCTGTACGATATTGTAAATTCTGAAGCAAAGGTGCCTGTCCAACCTTGGATCCAAGTGTTCCACTGTCAGTAGTTGCATCATGAATAGTTGTCGTGTGAGGTATAAATTGTTACAAGGCAAAACTCTGTTGATGGTTCCCATTTGTATCTTGGTTTTTCGTATTGAAGAAGGGAAACTGATAGATATTGGCATTGTTTTGTTAGTGCAATAGTATACAAGTATGCTTGATGTTCACTTTCCCCCAGATCACTGGCTTCTTTAATTTTTTGTACTCTTCCAATGTCCTGTTCGGATTCATATATTGTGAAACAGTTTCTGGCTTTTTGTTTTTGTGAATTTCTCCTCTTCCACATGCAATTTTATGGACATAACTTTGTAGTGAGATTATACTTCAGAAATATCATCATGCATGTTGCGATCCTCCTGAAATTCGATTGCACATTCTAGTTGTCTGTTGTAACATATTCTCACTTGGTGGTTCGGTTTACAGAGATGGTAGGTTGGTGAGTGGAGTTTTCTGGGTGATCTCACAAAAATTCAGGAGTTCAGTCAAAAGTCCAGTTGATTGAACGATAATCTTGGATATCCTAGTTATTTGAATGAACTGGATCTAGCTGTGGGCATTCCATTGAAGCTGTAGCCCTTTATAATTGAGATGACTAAAGCCTTATAAGCAAGGAAGAAAGGGTATCCGACTACCATATCCAGTTTTTCCAATGCCCGCCTGATCTCCAGCGTACTATTTCCTTTCATATTTTGCCATTACTACTTCCCACAACCCCCAGTGACCTTTTCTTCTTTAGGCCCTTTTCTTTGATCTCGTGTGTGTGTGTGTGTGTGTGTTTGATCTCGTGAGTGATGGCCCTTCCATTTGTCACCATTGGATCACAAAGGCCGACTTTCATCCCTGTGGTGCCTGATAACAATGGCTGGATGGGTGGGTTTTGTAGTAAAGCCACCTTCTGTCTTTGCAATTAAGGGCCAATCTTCGTCCGGCCGTGACAATCTTTGCTTGCTTCTGTTACCTATTGGGAGACTTACGTCCGATTGAAACTGTATTTTGGCCTATAAGTATTGACCTTTTTTTTTTTTTTTAATGTTTTTTAGGTTTTTTTTTTTTNGGGGGTGCTGTTTTAAGAAGGTGGCTCGAATGCATCCAACCATGGCTAGCGGGGGTGGGGATTCAAACCAATAAAGGACGTAGGAATTGTCCTTAATTATTTGACAGGTTGAAATAGCTTTTTGAGAAGTTTATGGAGGTCGGGTTATTCAATCTCATGATACTCAAGGAGCAGGACATCGTATTTTAGGGGTTCGATAAATATATTGTAAAGCAGATTCTAGTTTTGGGTTATACAAAAAATGGGAAGGGAAAGATAATACTTATAAGGAATCATACAGATGGAAAAGATGGGTCTCTTATCAATTTTGCTCCAAATTGATCAATGTGCCTGCACCCATTTATAACAAAAGCCAAAATAGGATAAGATCCAAGCTGGACCCAAGTTGTCATCCTATAATGCTCATCCTTCAACCCCTAAAGTTTCAATTAATTTCAAAGCATTACTGGAAGGATCTTAGAGATTTAACACCAAAGCAAGCTAGTAATTCCCAATCCAACCACAAGCTACTTCCCAACTTTGCAAGGTCTAACTAAAACAAGAAATAAAATAAGTAGATATAGTGGTTTCAAACTTAATTTTTTTTTTTCGGTAATTTTGTATTTGTTACTTTTCCATACGGGGTAAGAGGTTCAGTAGGGTTGTCAAAATTTGACACGACACGAATCGACACGAATTAAGCGGATTTTGGTGATAAATAGGTTGACACGCCAAACATGTTTAACGAGTCGTGTTCGGGTGAGATCTGTCAAACCGTTTATTATACTTTTACCCGTTTAAATAAAATTAATATAATAATAAATTAATAATTATTTAAAAAAATTAGCAAAAAAAAAGAGTAAAGAAATCAATAAAAAAAAAAAAAAAAGTAAAGTACCAGTTCAAAGGCAAAAGAGAGGAGATGAGGAACACTTCAAAGACAAACCAATGTCTTTTGTTTTTGTCCCACATTGGAAAACGAGGGAAGATGGAGAATGTTGAGTTACTTATAAAAAGTAAAAACTTTTTACTTTTTTTTAAGCCTTCAAGTCTTATTTTTAAGATATTTAGTTAAAAAATCATCTTTTTTGAGGCAAATGCAATTGACAATAAAAAAAAATAGAGTATTAAAATTTGTTAATATAATTTTTTAAAAATTAAACGGATTAAACGAGTTGTGTCGTGTTACCTGTTTATTAAGCGAATAGTGTTCGTGTTGAGATTTTTTACCTGTTTATTAAACGTGTGGTGTACAGATTTTTATATTTTTCACCCGTTACCTGTTTAACTCGATACATAATCGTTTAACCCGACACGTTTGATACTCTTAAGATTGAGTCAATCATAAAGGTCACATCTTGGACTTAGTTAACGGCCCATGCTTGCCCTTGGGCCAAGTTGTTGCACTATTGATTAACAGGCTTTTGGCCAAGCTACTCACCTATGTTTCATTTGGTAAGAAGAATGAAAAATAAGAGAGATACATTTTATATTCTTCAAGGATGAAAAGTAGGAATGATACACTTTATTTTCTTTATGTTTGGTTAGATGGATGGAAAATAAAAATGACTACTTTTTTTTTTAATTTTTTTTGTGCTGGTTAAGATTAAGGATGACAATCGAGTTGTGTCGTGTCAGATTCGTGTTAAGTCATAAAATTATGAATATTTTATATTTCTTGTTCGCTTGTTAGGTCATTTTCAAGTTCGTGTTGAATTCGAATCGTATTATTGTGTTGAGTTAAAAATTATATATATATACACACACATATTTTATCATTGTATTTTTATATAAAATTAATGTATACATAATATATAGACAAATAAGATACATCTCAACACAAATAATTAATTTTTTATCCACTTTTCTTCCGATTTTGGAAGGATTGATTTTAGTGAGTTAGAAGGAAAATTAATTCATCCAGTTTTTCATCCTTCTTATTTTTCTCCCTTACCAAACATGATATTTTATTTATTGCTCTAACTTTTTATCTTTCCAACTTTCTATTATTCCACTTTGCACTAAAGAACCACAACATTTCTATTAGGCCGGTTTTAATTAGCCTATTAATCGGACCAATACAAATAAGTTTTGAAACGAGTAATAATTCAAAATTTTCATTTCCATGATTGAATTATTGCAATAAACCTTTCTGGAGCCACCCTACCATGGGTATCCCGACCAATCGCCATAGCAACGTCCACGACCCTACCAGATTGGCTAACTGGAGCCACGGGCCAGTCCGTGTCCACTGAGCTCATGGGCCACAGGCCTAGCCAAGCCTATGCCAGTAGTAACAGCATTCGAGAAATAGTCAACAGTTAGGCCTTGAGATGTCCACTCCCGCCAAATATACACGCAAACATAAATTCCCTTGTTTAGGAGAACCAAACACATGCATCGTGGCCAACCTTAAAATTCAAATGAGTCAATTCATTTGACGAGTAGAGTGAAACCTTGAACAGCTGGTTAATACCTGAAATGTGTGTGGGACAGAGCGCTATAAATGAACCATTAATTATTATTCTCTTTAGTCTCTCACCCCATCCTCTTCCCTCCATATAACATTCCTTTTAGAGTTTCTCAAGCCCATTTTTCTTATGAAAACTCTATAGAGAATGCTTCTTGTCTGGATCTAAAACATCAAGATTCAAGTAAGTTGTATTGGGTTTTCTCGGATTTTCTTTGATTCTGCCAGTCGAATTTTACTACTTTCTTCCTCTTCCAACTTGCCTAAAATGGAAACAAAAAAAAAAAAAGAAAGTTCTAATGGGTCCTTTTCTTTTGTTATTATGAATGCATTCTATTTGTTTGTTGTTAATGCTATGTTAAATCTGTCTGATTAGATATCCTAATGAATATGCTTGAGCTTAGGATTATTTTAATCATAACTTTTTTCCATATTAGGCAACAATTTTATTTTATCATATCCAAAAATGACAATAAGAGAACAAGTTATGCTGCATTCATGATCTAAATTTTAGAAGGGTGTAAGGTCAAATTTCATCTAAGTAGAAATTGTGGGTATAAATCTCGATATACAAATTCTGGGGGAAGAGAAGGCAGTAGTTGAAGGAATCCATGAAGATGGACAGTGTGTCTGTGTGAAATTTTCTTTCTTATCGGATACCTTATGTTAAGTGTATGGTATAGTTGATCAAATGGAACTGAAATGATGACAAATTCAAAGAGGCAAGTTTTTTAACTTAGTTTTTTTTTTTGGGTTTTAGGATTGTGAAAACTTACATTATAGTTATAAACGGGATTATCATTGTGGCCTGAGGTAGAAAATGAATGTGAAATAGTTGCCATTTTTGGAAAGTAAAGGACTTGAGTGGGGGGTTTTAATCTCTACCAACTACAGCTGCATTTTTGCAAAATTAGTAAAAACAAGAACTTATAATCGCATCCTAAGTCAAATTTCAGAAAATTGGTCGAAAATTAAGTACATGGGGATACTTATCCCTGAATTACGTAACTTGTATGACCTATCTTTGGTTATTTGACAGCAGGATTGGGAGAAAATGATGAGGCATCTATTTCTTGTTCTTCTGTTGATCCATTTGAGTCTTGCACAGAAGGCCAAGGTTAAGCCACTGACGAAAAAATGGCTGACACTAAAGGGTAACTTATTATTCCCTTTCTCTGTCTTTTCGTTTCTCAAAAACCAATTTTTAGTTCTGACTGTATGGAATTATTTTCTCTTCCTTTTGTTGTGAAGGCAAAAACAGAACAGTTGAGTTATATTCAAACTTTATTGCTCATGAGAAGGTTGCATCATATCTGTTGTGACAAACCAGTTTTGATCATATCCAGTTTCATATTTCACAATACAAAGTTTGAGATTGTACTTTTTGATTTCAATGTACCTGCAGGTGATGAACCTGTGGTAATAGCTCGTGGAGGGTACTCGGGCCTTTTTCCTGATTCCAGCGAATATGCGTATAGGGTCGCCAAGGATAACAGCTTGCCTGGTACCATTTTGTTCTGTGATTTACAGCTTACAAAAGATAGCGTTGGGATTTGCCAGACAGAACTGAGGCTGGACAATTCAACAACTATAAGAGATGTCTTTCCGAAAGGGCAGAAAACTTACAATGTAAATGGACAAGATATGAGCAGCTGGTTTGCCTTGGATTATACATCTGATCAACTATTCACAAATGTGACTTGTAAGTTTTATAACAATAAGACTTCTTTCCATTTTCCATTCTATTTTTTCTGCCAACCAATATCTTCTTTGGTTGCTTCCGATGGAGAAGGAATGAAAGAAACTCCAGATCTTGCGACAATATGTATCTGGAATCCTCACTGTACGATTTCATCTTCTCTTCTTTCCCTCCATTATTGCAACCAACTCAGAAATGGATAAGCATTTGAAAGTATATCAAAAACAGTTGTTATTAGCATTAACCATGTTGTGAGCTCTTAACAGTATCAAAAGCACTGCTGACATTACTGGAAACAAAAGAAAAGAAAAGAAAAGAAAAGAAAAGAGTGAGCAAAACACAATAATTATTACATCATTTTCTGATTTAATGAAAGGAGACTAATGGAATCATATCCTGTACCATGCTGACAAATGTGTCTTTGATTATATTTTTTGTGTCCTGTTCTTTCCCAACAGTGATACAAAACATATACTCTAGAACAAATGTGTTCGATGGTCTATTCTCCCTGTGGACCCCTGATAATGTGGTAGCAGCTTGGCCTTCTTCAAAAATTTGGTTGAATGTTCAGGTATTGCTCTCAAGTTCTCTCTTGCTTCCTTTCATATCAAATTTTCTTTCTGATAAGTAGTTTCTACTAAAGCAACGGTGATGCTGCTCCATTATTACCTGGAGTCATAGAATTGAGCCGCAGAAATAGCTTCTTCGCTAGGAAAGGCATCTGACCCTTCCCAAATCCCACAGCTGTGGGAGCATCGTGGATTGGGCTGCCTTCTTTCATTCATTTGAATGATTCTTATACTGCTTTGGTGCTCCTTCTTCTGTTCATTGCAGTATGGGATGTTCTACATCTATCATAAGCTCAGCCTGGCAAAATATGTTGAAGACTCTATGAAATTTATTAATCCGGAATACATTTCATCTCCTGAGATTGGTTTCTTGAAGACCATTGGTGGCAAACTGAAGAAATCCAAGAAAAAGCTCATCTTCCGGTGCCTAGAGGCAGATGCATTTGAACCCACAACCAAGGAGAAATATGGTTCACTCTTGGGAAATCTTTCGATGATCAAGTCATTTGCTTCTGGTATTCTTGTCCCAAAAGAGTATATATGGCCTGTTACTAAGGACATGTATCTGCAACCTGCAACAACTCTTGTAGCCGATGCTCATAAACAAGGTCTTGAAGTATATGCTTCTGGCTTTGCAAATGATGGTATGCTAAGTTACAATTATAGTTATGATCCAACAGTCGAGTATCTGCAGTTTGTCGACAACTCCCAATTCTCAGTTGATGGGGTGCTTACAGATTTCCCTTCCACTGCATCAGAAGCCATTGGTGAGATTCACCCTCTTTCTCTACATGTGTTTATTTTTCACCAACATGCTTTGCAAAACAGGGAAAACGATATAATGAGAATACATTTAACAAAATAACAAGATACAAAAACCAAACACGTGAACTTTTTATGTAAGAAACTGAAAAAACAAGTCTCAATGACTCCTAGCCAAAAAAACAAGAATTTATGATGGCAAATGTATGCATGCCTTTTTATGTTCCAGGTTAAACCTCAGACTGTTTTTCTCGATTGCAGCATGCTTAGCCCGGAACAAGAATGCTTCCAGGATTATGGATGGTAAGAAACTAATCGAGATTTCTTTCAAAAGTAAATAACTTTATGTCAGAACGCATAGGAAAAAAATTCTATGAAAAATGAAAGTACAAGCTACATCACTCAATAATTCTGTGTTTCCATGAATAGCTTTGATCATATCTCACAATGGAGCTAGTGGGGATTACCCTGGCTGCACTGATCTTGCCTATCAGAAAGCCATAGACGATGGGGCCGACATAATTGATTGTTCTGTTCAAATGTCAAAAGATGGATTTGCCTTCTGCTTGGAGACAGCCGACCTTACGGGGAAAACTACTGCAGCAACTACTTTGATGGATCGAACTGCAACAGTCCCAGAAATTCAGCCAAACTGGGGGATTTTCTCCTTTGATGTCACGTGGAGTGAAATCCAATCCCTCAAGCGTAATCTTCATCAAAAATACATTTTTTCCTTATTTTCTCAACATTTCTGATCCTTTACTGATCCCCATGAGTTGACCTTTCTCATTTCAGCACAAATTACAAGCCCTGACATTGACACTAGCTTGCAAAGAAACCCTGCAAACAGGAACAAGGGAAAGTTTGTCACTCTGTCTGAGTTCTTAGAAATTGCTAAGTCTAAGGGAATAACTGGAGTTCTGATTAACATTGAAGTAAGTTTATCTTATTCCGTGGACATTTAAGTCCTCTTTTAGCAACTTAAGTTCTCTTGAAATCATAAATTTCCATGAGCATCAATGAATGAAAGTATTTAACCATTTGATTGCATAGGTGCCTGAAGAATATAAGCATTTTATGCTTGCACTGTTAATTTTTTTTCCCTTCATATGTCACAATTGAGCCCAAGCTCGAGTAAAGGATGAGGGTAACATTAGGTAGCTGACAGTTGGCATAAAATTTGTCACACACTCCCCCCCCCCCACCACCCACCCACCCAAGGCCATGAACAAAGTGTAACACCTGTTCTTCCTTTCCCAGAATGCTGCCTTCCTAGCATCAAAGAAAGGTCTTAGCATAACCGATGCTGTCACTACTGCCTTAAGCAATGACACCCTCGACAAAGTTTTGATCCAATCGGATGACAGTTCGGTGCTATCAAAGTTTAAGTATGCTTCAACTTACCAGAGAGTATTGACCATTAAAGAGCAAATAAGTGATGCACCAAAGCAGGTAGCGGAGGAAGTCAAGAAATATGCTGATGCAGTGAGTGTCACTAGAAATTCCATTGTTAGAGATAATTCAGTCTTCTTTTCGACTGATTTCACAAATATTACACAAGAAATGCATGCAGCAAATGTCTTGGTATATGTCGCATTTCTCAGGAATGAATTTACCTCGCTCATCTTTGATTACAATGCGGATCCTTACACACAGCTTGCTACTTTTGTTGTGGCAAACAAAGTTGATGGGGTCATTACGGACAATCCAGCAACTACCAATGCATATATGAGTAAGTATTACTACCTCTTTACTCTTTTGTAGCGTTTATTCTGATCACCAAATCATGACATATTCAACTATGATTTCTCTAACAGAAAAATGCATATTTCTCATTATGTTTCCCAGTTAAAAAAAAACATTTATTTAACACGAGAAACATAAGGACTTGTGAGGATCGGGTTGGAATAGGATAATTGATGATTTATTTTTAGATTATTATTTATTTAGATATTATTCTATTTTAGGGTAATTTTTGATCTCTTACTTCCCTTTTCATGCCCTTTTTTCTCATCTCATCTCCATGTCTCTTCTTCTTACGGTACATCAATTGGTATAGTCTATGAAAGCTATACCATCTATATCATGACCTCTAATCACAACAATTAACACTAAACAAGAAGTAGGACAATCTTTTCAAAAAAATTCGATTTAGTGGCTATAGAAAAGCAACAAAAATTGAGAAAATCAAAGGAAACTCAGAACAGTAACAAAAGATAAGCAAATGAATACAGATAAATATAGATCATGGGGCACTAGGCCAAAGGTCATGTGATCTAGCTTATTGTGCAGGCTATACTATGCAAACTCTACAATAAAAGGCATACAAAATTACTACATTAATGGGCCATATAAACGAATTATGCTTGGGTTTTTTGTTATTCAATGCTTTGAATCTGTCATTGCTTAAGAAATAATATGTTGCCATTTTTGCTACTTCAGGGAGCCCCTGTTCCAAAATAGATGCCAATGTTTCATTCCCCATCTTGCCAATTAAGGCGGGTGATCTTCTGGCGGTGCTTGCACAAGAGGTGCTGCTACCACCCACTCCAGCACCCGCCCCAGCCCTTGAAGTTGCAGATATTATTGACCCTCCTCTTCCTCCCGTAGCAAATATCTCAACCAACTCCACATCTTCACTTCTTGCTCCTGCACCTGCTAAGAATAAATCAAGCAGTCAAAGAACTTCTGCTGAGACAGGTCACTATGTAGCAGTGATTGTGGGGATAATCGGTTTGCTTAATATCAAGTTATGAAGCTGATAAATTGTCATAGACCTATAAGTTCATAATTTTTCTGCTACAGTGTTGGAGCACGAAGAATCTTCTGCAATGATCAAGTCATTTTAAACATATGATATTGGCAATACACACATATACTGTGCAAAAGATGATGATTGACTCTCCTACTCTACAAAGCTCAACATAACTCCTCCTTAGCTTTCAAATTTTGCTGTATAGTTTGTTTGCTGTAGTTGTTTTTATTCTTGGTGAAGCCATACTATTGGCAATGACAAAAAATTCTCCTTCAGAAGGTAGAGGGAGTGATTTTTCGAGGGAAAGACCATTTTTTGGTTGATTGGATTTTAGTCTCTTCATCACCATTCTGATGTCTCCTAGTATTCTGTCAAGGCATTTGTTTAGGACTTTGAGAGAGAGAGAGAGAGAGAGAATTGAGTGAGAGGAAATGATCTTCCTACTAGAATCATATAACATCGGGTTTGGCTCCTCTCGCAATGGTGAAATAATTAAAAGATTTTTCAAAATTTTTTAATATGGTGAACAATCTATTCATATTTACAGATTTTGTTTTAAGATTAATTGCACTAAAAATCCCTAAAGTATCCCTAAAGTATGAAAGTTATCTCATTTTAATTTTTAATAGTATTATTTTAGTCTCTAAAATATTTAATATATTTTTATATGATTTTTTAAACAATTAACATCTAAATTACTAACAATTTTTTATTATAAATTTGTCACATAATACTTAAATATAGGCAAAAAAAATTATTTAAATAACTTTTGACCAAATTTTTATTCAAATTTTGGTCAAAAAGTTACTCAAATTACACAATTTTAATCCTGAGCTATCTAATTTTAATCAAAAATTACCGATATTACACAATTTTGGTCAAAAATTTTAAAATTTTAATCAAGAGTTATTCAAATTATTTTTTGCCCATATTCAAGTATCACGTGACAAATTTATAATAAAAAATTATTAATAATTTAAAAATTAATTACTTGAGAGACCACAAGCCTTTGTTTTATTTAAAGAATTTTTAAAACTCAAAAAAATAATTTTTAAAATTCAAAATAAACTGAATTTACAGTCATGAATACATTTTTGCAATTTAAAAAGAATTGAAAGATGCTCCAATTATTTAGAAATGAATTAATAATAATTTCAACCGAATCATACCTCTTAATCACAATTATGTTTAGTAACAATTCTTAAAAAAAACCCACTTTTGTTGCATTTTACAATCAAAGAAGGTAACAAATATGTTTAAACCTTTTTTGAGTTACTACTATGAATAAATAGTTAATTCAAACACATAATTTTGTATTATCTATATAATAAAAAACCCACAACTTATTCCATACTTGAAACAAGTATTATTATGATATATGAAATAAAACAAAAGATTATCCCATTAAAAAAAAAACCCAAATAAAACCAAATTGAAAACACTTCCCGGATAAACAAAAAACCCTAATTTAACCCTAGTTTTTACATAATAGGCTCCATAAATTTAACCCGATCCTTTCTCCCCGCCGCCCCAACCAAAAAAAACCCTAGATCCTCCTCCGGCAATCATATACAAACAAAATACACAGATCTATTAAGAGAAGGTGTCGTTAAGATAGAAAAAAAACCATAAGGAGGCTCAGATTCGCCTTTGATCAGACAGAGGCTAAAGCGCCATGGCTGCAAAAAATCAGTTGCCATGTGAGAGAAAACAAGAAAGAAGAGGAACCCCCATTTCTCTCTCTCTCCTCTCACAGANCAGAGAAGGTGTTGTTAAGATAGAAAAAAAAAACATAAGGAGGCTCAGATTCGCCTTTGATCAGACAGAGGCTAAAGCGCCATGGCTGCAAAAAATCAGTTGCCATGTGAGAGAAAACAAGAAAGAAGAGGAACCCCCATTTCTCTCTCTCTCCTCTCACAGACCCTCTGAGTTGCCCCACCAAGATACGGCTTAGCTCAATGCCTGACTTTGTTTGAAATCATCATCATCACAGCCTCATAAATGGAGTTTTGGCAGAGGAAGATGCTGTTATATATATGGATAGATAGATATTTGCAGAGAGAGAGAGAGAGAGAGAGAGAGATGGGTGTGGAGAAAATATTCATTGCAACGGTGCGTACAAAGGGTTGTTGATTTTCCGATCAACCATGAAATCATCGGCCGGTGGACAGAGAGGGGCAACCACCCTAGAAACTCCCTGACTCTCTGTGCTTTGCCTCATTCTTAAACAAACGAAACTTTGTTGACCTGTGTCATCTTATACTGGTGCCCTAGTTGGCCCTTCATTTCCAGTTTTATCCCTCGTTGCAGAGTTGGTGGGATGGATTAGTGTGGTATTTTAGTCATTTTAGTATGAGGAAAAGATGCATGGAATAGGTAAAAACTTAAAAGTGATGAATTTGAAAGAGTGAAAATTTGATATTGATGACCGCGAGACAAGTTTATTTAAATAAATTTATTAAAATTTATTTTATTTTATATTATAAATATAATTAAGAAAAATTGCAAAAGCAAAAACAATTACACATGTTATTTTTCATGGCAGCCATAGTTTGGACCTGCTTTTAAATTATCAAATTCATTAAATCTCACCCCAATCATTTTTCTAAGTAAATAAAAAATGAAAACTAAAAAATAAATAGAGAAAAAAAAAATTCATCCTCGAAAACTCCAATTTCAATAGATTAAATTAGTATTTGGTACATTTAATACATCCCATGAATTTCTAAAAAATATATCAAATATAGATTCGAAATGAATGTATGAAACTCCACCATGTAATCTTGAGAGAAACTAAACACACTACATGTCCAAGTTAGGACCCCAAATTCGCGTGGGAAATTGGATTGAATCTGTGATTGATTGGTAATTAATTGCAAGTGTCGAAAGTTTCCTCGCCTGGGAGAAATTCCACATTAGAAAAATAACATTTAAAATCTAAGTTCTTATGCTATTAACTTAATACACAATAAAATATATAAAAAAAAAAAAAAGGAAATTAGCAATTTTATTGGAAAAATTAACCTTAACACTGTCTTATTCGGATATACACTCTTAATAGAAACATTAATAAGAAAGATTAAAAATAAAACACACCCAACTGAAGGTTACCCCAGAAAACATAGAGATTTCAGAACCAAGTAAACAAATTATAAAAGATTTAGAGGAAAAACGTTTGAGAAATACATAAGAAAAATATATAGTAAAATTCTGAGGCTCAGATCTGTATTGTATCAGGCAAGAGAATGAGCGACTCACGCCATGGCTGCAAAACCAGTTGCATGTGAGAGAGAACAACCCACATACCATCCGGTTTGCCCCGCCAAGATACGGGCCGGATTGTCTCAATCCCTGATCTATTTGCTCAGAAAAGTTATCATCCCAGCCTCTCAGATATACGGGTCGGATCAGCAAAATAACCAAGATCAACAACAGCAGCAACTGCATCATAGAAAAAAAAAAAGAAAAAGAAAGCCATGAAAAGGGTTTCAACCCTTTACAAACACACACACATACACAGATCCGGAGTCCGGACGCATGTGTGTGTGGACACTCTGAGACAGAGTGAAAAGGGCTGTTGGTTAAGTGAATGGTGAAATCATTGGCTTTCAGAGAGGGGCAACCACCCTAAAAGAAAATCCCATCTCCCTGCAGCCTCATTCTTTGAGCGAGGAATGTTAAAGGGCAACAGTCTATTTTACGCATCTTTCAGGGGTGCAAAGTGAAATTTACCGAAGGGCTGTTGATTTTTCGATAGTCAGTGAAATCATCGGGTATGTAGCAGAGAGGGGCAACCACCCTTAGAAACATCCCATCCCCCTGCCTCACCTATTTTATCCCATCCAACTAAGTGGATAACCACCTTTAACCCACTACCCAAACACCACCATGATGATATGTTTCTTCAACCTTTCACTGTATTTGTTTGGCCCAAGATGTACCTTAATTCCTTGTTTTAACCTTTGTGCTGGTGTTGTGCCCAGTTGGGTTGGAAGGGTATATTAGTCATTTGGGTTTTGTGGGTACTTTTATTGATAGTTGGAAAGAGTGAAAGGCATTTCTATCTATCCTTTGAATATAAAATTTTATTTTTGCTTGGCATCGGGAATTCTAAGTATTTCGGAATATGATTATGCCCTCTACAATATTTAAAACAAGGATATCTTGAAAACAAACCTAACAATGTTTTCTTTGGGTAAGTTAAACCAAATAATGTGTAAAGAAACATGCACGGGCTGAATTTTACATAATAATTGAGATAAAATGGGTGAGATTTTGTAACGAAGAACGGAATTAGAAATAGACAAAAGTTATGTCTATAATATTTCTCGGTCGGTGTTCAAGTCAAGAGGATTGAGAGTGTTGTGTGAGTTAAGTTACACTTATGTACTTGAGACCCAATTTCTTAAACTATTTATATATTGAGAGATGATGACATGACACTTCGTGAGGTACACCCTTACGGGTGAGTAATCAGTGATTAGTGTCTCTCTCAAGTTGCAAATTTACTAGACAGTTGCTTGAGGTCAAATCCAACAATGATTACCTTATTCACGAGATTAAACATTTAATGCACACGGATTATATACTTAATTATCTCTATCAGGTATTTAATGAGTTGTGTCAAGCATTTACGAGATTTGCACCGATCATTCTATCATATCTCACCCGACCAATTCATGTCAACAAGGAGCATGCCTCGAGTNGTAAAATGGGTGAGATTTTGTAACAAAGAACGGAATTAGAAATAGACAAAAGTTATGTCTATAATATTTCTCTGTCGGTGTTCAAGTCAAGAGGATTGAGAGTGTTGTGTGAATTAAGTTACACTTGTGTACTTGAGACCCAATTTCTTAAACTATTTATATATTGAGAGATGATGACATGACACTTCGTAAGATACACCCTTACGGGTGAGTAATCAATGATTAGTGTCTCTCTCAAGTTGCAAATTTACTAGACAGTTGTTTGAGGTCAAATCCAACAATGATTACCTTATTCACGAGATTAAACATTTAATGCACACCGATTAGATATTTAATTATCTCTATCAGGTATTTAATGAGTTGTGTCAAGCATTTACGAGATTTGCACCAATCATTCTATCATATCTCACCCGACCAATTCATGTCAACAAGGAGCATGCCTCGAGTCAATTTTTTTGGGATCAAGTGTGGAACCCAACATGTTCCTTGAGTAACATATGTCACATAGTAAACTCATGTAATGTGTTAAACTTCTTCATGCCTCTGCTAACAAGAATATAGTATAAGGGTTTGGCACCCAACACAAAGCTGCAGAATTGAAGAAAAACGATTAGGAAAGCATCACTTATTATTTTTGTACATACACAATGCCCATTTACACCTATTAGTTCAGACAATATACACCCTCAAATGAGCAAACACAGAACATAAATACATACATAAGCTGCTAAGGTAGCCAAGAAAAACCATAAAATCACAGAGCTTCACATGCTTCAAATTAGGAAAATATTGAACTGGCTTGATGCCAAAGTTCTCAACTCAGACTCAACCCATAATCAAACTGCCGTTCAAGCAAAGACATATGG